TTTTTCTCTATTATGGGTCACATTTTCCTTTTTTTTTAAAGATTTTATTTATTTATTTGACACACAGAAAGATAGAGAGAGAGAGAGAGAGAGAGAGCACAAGTAGGCAGAGCGGCAGGCAGAGGGAGAGGGAGAAGCAGGCTCCCCACTGAGCAGGGAGCCCCATGTGGGACTCAATCCTAGGACCCTGGGATCATGACCTGAATGGAAGGCAGACACTTAACCGACTGAGCCACCCAGGGGCCCCTCCTATCTCTTTTATGTCTGGTGATCTTTAACTAGATATCAGACATTGTGAATTTTATCTTGGTGGGTGCTAGATATTGTTGTATTCCTGTGAATATTCTTGAGATTTGTTCTGTTATGCAGTTAAGTAACTTGGAAGCAATCTGATCCTTTTGAGGTTTGCTTTCAAGGTTGATTAGATAGGACTGGAGCACTGATCAACCTAGGGCTAGTTTTTTTCTTCCATTTCCAGATAAGGCCCTCTTTTGTTCCCTATGCAATGTCTCTGAATGATCAGTCTGACTGTTGGGAATTGCTGATTAATATTCAACCAAAACTTGCAGGGGACCCTCTGAAGATCTCTAGAATTCTCTAAGCAGCTATGTCTCCCCTGGTACTCTATATCTCGACAACTCTAGCTGCCCCATTCTCTCTGGATTCTCAACAACTTCTCTTCAACCCAGGGAAACTTCTTGGATTTCTCTTCCCTATGTCATGACCTAGAAACTAGCAATTACAGAGTTTTCCTCAATTATTTCCCATGTCCCATGGATCACGGTCTTTTATTGACTAATGTCCAAAGTCGTGAGAACTGTTGTTTCATATATTTGGCCCATTTTGGGAGTGGGGGGCTGTTTTAAGCAAGAGGGTATATTCAGTCCTTATCTATTTACCTCATTTTGGCCAGAAGTGGAATGCATCTTAAACAGCCCCTTGGTTATAGCCAAGTGAATTTCTGTCACTTTTGGGAATCTCAGTAAGACCTGATAAAGACAGGAAGAGGCTACTGGCCACAGAATACCTGAGGCTCATTTGGGTATCCTTTGGGAACTTTCTTCCTTAAAACTTCTATGGTGTTTACTTTAATGGAATTTCACCCAAATGAAATGTGTCCATGAAAAGAACTCATGCATACCCTCTCCCAGGCTTTTCTTTATTCTGGAGCCCCTCCTCTAGTAATAGTGTTTAGGGTGTATGCCTCGCTGCTCCCTCTCAGGCTCCAGAGGACACCCACTGATCTATCCACATCCCCATAAGCTTAGATCTGAGGCTGCGGGTGGCCATACACAGTGCCAGTGGGGATTACTAAGTCAGAGCAATGCTCATAAGGCCTGAGCTTATCCTCATGAGGATTATCTCCCAAAATCTGGGGTGGACCAGACCATAGGAAGGTCTGCTGAGTCCCCTAGGTTGAGTTTCAGGAGTGCCCATCTTTCTAATAGTCTCATGTGGCTCTGCCACCCCTGAGTCACCAGCCCACCCCTCACTCTAGAGCTCCTCCCTCTGGGGTTGCATTTTGGGGAGATCAGGTAAGAGGCAAATACAGATACTGCTCTGGGGCAGAGCACAGGCCAGCAGTCCCTCCCCAAGTCTCTCTTCATCTCTGGTTATCCTGCTGGGTTTCTGCTGACCAAGATGTAATGATCACCCTCAGAGTTTAATGTTAGTAGCAAGCTAGACAAGGAGCGGACAGCCAGCCTGGCCTCAGACAAGAGCCACATTCACCAGTTGTATTCAGAAGTTGACAGAAGTAAAACACATTTTATTTCGACATTACCACATGTCCAACTAATCAAACAAATGGACCTGACAGGTGTGGATGTGAGAGATCCATTTTCTTCCCTCTTCTATGAGAAATCTGATTTGTTTTTAGAAACATGCTTTTCTTTTCTTTTCTTTTTTTTTTTGCTTTATGGGCAGTTTTTTTCTTCATGTTTATTACCCAAGAGCCCAGGGCAGTCCCTCCAGTGGAGGAGAAGAAAACTGGCCTTTCAACTTAAGCCCCTTTCTGCTTTGACCAGGCCAGGCGCATATGGCAAGAGGAGCCAGGACGGAAGGAAAATAGATCTCAAGTTTCTGTTTCCTTGACAGCACAGAGCACTCAAGCCCTGCCCTTCGTCCCCATCACTTCATAAGGAGGCTCAGACAAGCAAAGAAGCAAGGTAAAGTGCAAAGGAGGCAAGGTTCAACTGCAACATCTGTGTGGAGGGCTGGGCGGGCAGCAGGACAAGCCATCATGGGCCCCTGCCCAGGAGAGTGCCAGGGGAATGACGGGTGACTGCTCTCCCACCACCCTTCTACCTCTCAGTCTTCCTGCTCCTTCTTTCCAGGCTAGAATGGTACCCGGATAGGGGATGGTCTTCCTGGGGCAGGGAAGAGGGCAGGATAAACAGAGAGAAGCCAATTCTAGTGCCAGAAGGGCAGAGCAGACCGAGCCGGGTGTCTGTCTGCTTGGGCCGAGGTGGGGAGCACGCATGCAGGGCACAAAGCCTGTGTCCGTCAGGAGGCCAGCTGGGGGGGTGGTGGAAGGGGTGACAGGGCTAGACAGGGAAGCCAGGACGCATAGAAGCATTCAGTTTGTGATTATCTAAGAACAACAAAGCAGGGAGAGGAATCCTTTGAAACCTTAAGTTAGATCATGCTACTCTTTCTCGCCAAAGCCTCCAGTGGCTCCCTATCTCACTTCCAGTGACCAGTGTCCTCAGGGGAGTCTGTAAGAGCTGGCCTCCTGATGCCCTCTGAGCTCTGCTCCTGCCCTGGCTTCCTCCCTCCCTCTGCTAGCGTGTTATATCATTCACTTACATACTACATTGTTGCTTGACTCGCCAAACAGAAGGTAAGCTCCCTGGAGGCAGAGTTTTAGGGGATTTCTGTGCGTGTATGTCTGAGAACCGATTTATCTCCTCTGCCTAGACCAGTGCCTGGCATGTGACGGGTGTTCAGAAAGTATTTGCCAAATGAGCAGACCCACTAAAACAGAGCCTTTTTTCACCAGTCACGGAGCACCCAGTCCCACAGAGGGATTTCGAACTCTCTTGAGGCACTGGACTCTCTAGGCCTGACTGGGTCTGCAAGTCTGGCGGTCGATGGGGAACTCATAGATGCCTGAGTCTGGGACTCTTTTTTTTTTTTTATTGTGGTAAGAACACTTCACATGGGACCCACCCTCTTAACATAGTTTTAATTGTCATCCTGCCTTGTTTCTGCTCACGTAATTCTATGTGCCTGCTGTCCCCTAGGTACGTAACTGGGGCACAAAGAAACAAAAACTTGCTGATTTGACTTGACTGAAACAGCACCAGGAATGTTAAGAAACCCAACCAAGGGATCAGGGATCAGAGTGAAAAGGAGAAGCATTCTGTCCCGTGGATTTCCCAAAGTTTCCAGCATCCCTCAGCTGCCCTCCCTTTCTTTCTCTGTGGAAGGGAGCTGGGCTCCTTAGCAGTCCCTGCAGTGCTCCGGCTTGGTCCCCCCGAGGTACGTGGGAGTAGACCACTGTCTCGGAGCCTTTTTATGCCAGGCATGAAGAGCGGCGAGCAGTGCGCAGTACACAGCCTCCCCTGGAACCAGAGGACCCCCGCCCCGCCGTGCACACGCGCACACACACGCCCTCACACACAGCCGTGAGACACACGGGGAGGAAGGGCTAGAAGTCCTTCACGACATGCATCTGCGGAGGTGGACGGCTCCTGAACACCGGGCCAAGGTGGAGACAGTGGAGCCAGGCAGTGTGAGAGCATGAGCGGACGAGAGGTCCAGGTGAGGTCAGAGGCAGAAGAGAAAGACGACAGGACGTGATCAACAGAGGAGCCCTGCGCCCAGTGGCGCTAGATGGCATGTTTCAGGAGACACGGGGCACGGGAGAGAGAAACGTGTAAGGGGCTCGGCATGCGCAGGCTCCACCTGGCAAAAGGAGGCCGCACGCCCAGACGGGCCGGGAACTTACCGGCTCGGGGCACGCCCCCCGGGCGCAGGCACCTGCGCAGCCAGCACAAGCGTGGGCGGCCCCGGACGCCCGTACACTGGCAGCCTGCGGAGCGCGGCGGGAGGTAGCTGCCCCGGGTGACGACTTAGGCGCCAGAGAATTAAAACGGTTCCTTCAAGTTCTGTAAGGACCCTCGGGAATAGACTCTAAGTTGCTGACTTTAAAGAAGAGGAGCTAGTCAGCGGCTCATGGAGTCGGGAGGAAAGAAGGGACTGGAACCCTAGCTTCCTGGCTCCCACCGAAGAGCAGGGCCTCTGCTCTTTCTGTGCCCAGTGGCTGGAGAGACGGCAAATGAGGGGAGGGGGTGCGGGACCCCCAGCCCGTCTCCTTCATGCAGCTGGCTACTTTCACTGCTGCTGGAAGGAAAGAGGTGCAAGGGAGGCACCCCCTTCCCCCGCCCCCAGTGGGGGTCCTAGGGGCAAAGGTCAGGGGCCTCCGCGCTTCCTCCCCTTGCCACCGGTCACCCTGGGGGTCTGCGCCATGCTTGAAGCACATTAAAAAGAGGGAGACGAAAGAGATGGGGTGAGGAAAAAAAGAGAGAGAGAAGGAGAGACCAGGCTCAAAAAAAGGAGCCCACTTAGCCTCACAGAAGGGCCGCAAGAGGACTTTGAAAACACCAGCCAGCTTATCCACATCAGATCTTGAGCCCAAATCTCTACGCCCTTTCCTTCTCTATCACTGACTGTCTTACAGATGGGAACGCGAGCCCAAGAGGGTCCATTCCTGGCGCAGAACTACAGAGAGGGGCGGGGGGCCCAGCCCTGCCCCGACTCCAGCTGTTGCCTGGACCACGCCAGGATCCTGTCGCTGCGGAGAGCATCAGGAAGCATCTCTGCCCAGGAGTGCACACCTGTCTCTCCTGCTTGCCTCTGCGCTCACCCCCACCAGGGAGGGAGCGTGTGGAGGTCGACCTCCCACCAAAGGGAGAGATGGTTTCATGAAGTGTCACATGCTGGTGCCTGGAAAGTGGCACCCAGGTCAGCCCCGCCTCCTTCCAGGAGACACTCACCATTCATCTGGGAGGGCGACGAAGAGTAGTCCCGGTCCGTGTGCCGTCGCTCAGGTTTCAGATTGCGGCTTTGTCTGCCAGAGCCTTCCAGCATGTTCACGATCTCACCTCGGTCAATGTTCCGCAGGGCTGCGTACAGATTCTCCACTGTGGGGGGGGAGGGGGGAGAAGAGAAGGGGCGCTTGCCGAGGGGATTCTCATCACCGTGGGGGGGGGCGGGAATGTGGGGGGGGGGGGGGGGGGGGGGGGGGGGGGGGTGATTTATCATCTCCGAATGTGGAGGCACCCCTCTTTTGTCATAATCAAAACTACCCGCCTCTTTGGGGGATATTTTGTTATCCTTCCACAGATCTTTTCCAACCCCGTAATGGTGGCCAATTTCAAAGCATGGAAAGACTTTTTTTTTGTCATCTAAGAGGAATTCCACAGGGAATGAGAGTGAGGAGAATTGGATACTGTCTTTTTGAAATCCTTGGTCCTTGCCAGTTGATTTGAGATGCAAATGCAGACACTCAATTTCCTCTCAGTGTTCCTGAGGACTGGGAATTTAGTTGAGGAAGAACTGATGAAACGAGTGAGACAAATCTTCCCTCCAGGGCGGAGGGAAAGATACTCCCGCATCAGGCAGGATTTGCTCCCCCATGCTGTGTCCTGGGAGGACAGTCCTCATGTGTTTGACACACTCCACAGGAAGTCATACACCCTGCACCTATGTGGTCATCTTGGTCCCCGTGTGACTGTTCTCTTACTCAGATGGGAAAAAAGATGAGGCCAAGACTTTCCTATCTTCTTACGACAGGATTGCCTAGAGGACCCCGCGACCCTGGAGAGGTGTGTGTGTGAGAGACAGAGACAGAAACAGAGTGTAAAAGAGATTGGTTCCAAAGGCCATGATCACAACTGGAATTTGAAAGAAGAACTGCTTGGGTGAAGAGGCCCAGGCTTTGGAAAGAGAAGGCTTCCTTAGCTTAATGGTACTGACTGTTTGCGTTTTTGCCTTCACGGATGACCCAGAGGTTCAACAAGGCTACACTCTGCTCCAACAAGGAGTTGGGGTTTTCCACGCGGATCCTGTTGATGTCTTCCACACTGAACTGCAGTTCCCGAGCCAACTCTGCAAGCAAAGACCCGAGGCCAGGGGTGAGCCACGCCAGAGCCCGGCTCCGGCTCCCCAGCTGGGCGCCATGGAGTGGGGGCGTCTGGCAGGGAGTACCATGAGTTAAAGGACAGTCTCCCCGTGGATTTGGTAGTCCTTCTTACCCAGAAGTACCTAGTGAAACAGAGACACCTGCATCTTTCTATCTCCCGAAAGTGGGGCGTAAACACGAGTGCTCAAAAAATAGGTAGTGAATGAGTAAGCGAATGAATGTCCTTTCTTTCTTTCATCACTTCAAATATGAGATGACAATACTGAGCCTCTCAGCAAGGCTAGTGCTCATGCAAGGTCACAGAACAAGCCAATGCCGGAGCCGGGCGTGGGCTGAGCCGGCGGATGCCCACTCCAGGGCTGTTGAACAACACCAGGGTGCCACTTACTTTCCACCAAGAAGCAATTAGAGTGGAAATGCATTTCTGTACTTATGTTTCTTCTGGGAAAGGCATTATTTACATTGAAAATGAAAATACAAGTTCCCATCTAAATGCAAGGCAATAACACAGAACGTTAGCTTTTTCCCTGCCATTGTTTTTATTCTTATTTCTCACAGGTGCTTTGGAAGGGAGAACAGCCTCAGAGTCCAATTTCAAGGATGAGGAAGACCAGAGGACAGTGATGGTAAGAATCAGAATGTACACGAACCACACACACCCCCCAACACACACACACAAGAAGCAGCAGCAGACATTCTTTTTTGGCTTAAGAATGAATAGTCCCTGAACTTCTGTTGTAAGTTTTTGTCAGAGTCTTTCAGCAAGTTATTGTTAAGGTTTCTGAGTTTGTCTGAAGCCCCCTCTACAGGGAGGCTGAGTGAAGGAAGTCCTTTCATATGAAAGTTAACAAAAAAGGACCAGGGATGGGGCGTGGTGGTGGTGGTGGTGGTGGTGGTGGTGGTGGTGGTGGTGGTGGTAGTGGTGGTGGTGGTGGTGGTGGTGGATTAAGTTATAGGGCCGGTGACTGAGTAAAACACCATATTTTGAGCTTTCACCATATTTTTCCCACACACAGCCTCACTTCAAATGAGATCTGCCCTCACTGTTGATGTGACTTCTGGTAGACCTCAGTGACAGCCAGAGATTCTAAGTGAAGAATTTTGAGACTTCTTTTCTTTCCCTCAACAAAGCCAGCCTTTGAGGAAGGGCAATGTGAGAACAGGGAGCAGTGGACAGGTGGTCAGGAGACGTAGTTTTTTGTCTCTGTGTTTTTTATTTGTTTGATGGTTTTCCAGAGTTCTCTCACTAACTAGCTACAAAACTAGAGTCACTCTATTTAACTGGATCTCGGTTTTCCCATCTGTCAATTGAGGTGAACCAGATCAATTCTAAGGTCTCTTGTAACTTCAGAAGTTAATTCTTCCTGGGGTGCCTGGATGGCTCAGTTGGTTGAGCGTCTGATTCTTGGTTTCAGCTCAGGTCATGGGATCAAGCCCTGCGTTGGGCTCAGCGCTCAGTGTGGAATCTGCCTCAGATTCTCTCTCCCTCTCCCTCCTGTTCATTCTCTCTTTCTTTCAAATAAATAAATAAAATCTTTTTAAAAAAAGTTAATTCTTTCTTATAAAGAAAAATCAGGCCAAAATGGAGGAGGGAGGGGGCTCACTTTTTGCACTGGTGCCCAAAGGCATTGCTGGGTCCAAGACAATCACACATCAGATGCACCAAGGATGGTGAAAAGAGGTTGCTCCTGAGGGGGAAGGAGCTGTAGGGGTTTGTGTAGACTGGCAAAGTGCCGACTCACCCGCCCAGCTGAGGCCAAGGTGTTCTGATATAATAGCCATCTTCATATCTGCTCGGTCTGTCCCACTGAGGGAACCTGGGGAGAAGCATTGGGTTGCAGTCAGTCCTCTGGGCAGGACAGGCCATCAGCAGGTGTGAGTAAATGACCTTAGATGGAGGCTCAGCGCATGGGCAGCCCTCAGCGTCCGCTGACCTGGTGGCCAAGCCTGTGCAGGCTAGGTGCAGGCCGGGGCCAAAGCCTCCACATGCTGTGCTCACAACGGGCTAAGCTACTCTAGGAGTGAGGGGGAGTGATGTCACCTACAACCTTCTGGAAAGGTGGCGACACACATCGCCAAGAGTTTATACCCAGTGAGGATTCGCTGAGAATGCTGTATCTCAGGGCCAACGGCGTCAGAGTCCTTCTCCTCTCATCAGCACCGCTCACCTGCAGAGGGAAGACAAAGAAAGGAGACTTGGGGCCTGGGGCGTCCCCCTTCTTGGAGCTGCTTCAAGCCCGCAGGCCGTGGGGTGGGGCGTGATGCCCGTCCTGGCAAACGGTAAGTAGCCCTGCTTCTCTGGAGCCACGACACGAAGAACAGACGTGTGCAAAGAGGTCGGGGCAAGAGGGAGTGATGAGATTCACGTACTTTATTAAGAATAACCAGAATGGCAAGCTCGTGTGGCCCTTACCAGGTGCCAGGCCCTGTCTGATGCTCGCCACGGCCTCTGGGTAGGTATTAGTACGACTCCCATCTCATGGATGAGGGTACTGAGCCATAGAGGGGTCAAATAACTTGCCCAAAGTCACTCAGCCAGTAAGTGGTAGAGCTGGGGTTTGAACCTAAAAACCAAGTCTTTCTTTCTGGGTCCCTTTATACTCAAAAGACCCGTTTTCGGTACTGGCCCGAGGCCTAGCACCCCAGCTCTGCAGAGAAGCACCCAGATGCTTGCTCAAGGCTGCAGGAAATCCTCTTTTGAAAGGGAAGTTGGTTCACACCCTCCCTGGACAGAAAAGAGAAACTAAGCCACGGACATAGGGCCAAAGCCCTGCTTTTTCCCTAGCTGGCCATGGAAGGCTCACAGCACAGCAGCAAAAGAACAACAGGAACATGGAGACGCACAAGCCCTCCAAAGTCCCTGGTGCAGCGGTGACTCTGAGGCTCTTACAGGGACGGATAAATCAACATATTTGGTCAGGACGCCTTTGCTGAGCTCAAAAATCTGGGTGTTTGCAGGGGTTGAGACACCAGGGCTCCCTTCTCTGAGGGCCTGGCACACTGGGGAAGATAAGCAAGTACATGAAAAAGAGGCTTGAAAAAACCTCGTAAATGGCCAGTAACCTCGAGCAATTCGACACCTGGTTCTAAGCCTCAGAGGCCTCAGACAAGGGGTGCCACGGTAGATGCCTGTGAGGCTCCTTCTGACCTTCGAGAAAGATCATCCTAGAGGGCTCAAGGCCCACAGTGAGGACACGCATACCACTGTCTGATACTGGCATTGCTCCTAGCTTGCAGGAAGGCCTGGGGTGCGCTCTCCCTGCCCAGGCCAGTCAACTGTCCCGAGGACAACCAAGAGCCTTCCTGGACCTCAGGGAACTCAAAGGCAGCTTTTCAACAAGAAGTCCTTTGGAAGCACTTGACCTTGAGTCTGTACGGGGACCCCCCCCCACCCCCCCAGCAAGGGCCCTCCTCAGGGGGCAGCTCACCTTGGTGCAGGGGGGCATGGTGATGTTCAAGTGGCAGAGAATGTGCTGGGCGTCCTCATACTTCATGGCCTTGCGCAGAAATGACAAGGACCCTGCTGGTTCTCGACTGCTGTCCCTCACCTACATTCACGCACACAAAAGCAAGCCTCGGGGGGCTGTTCCAGAGGCTTAGAGATTTCTGCCTCCCAAACCCCCTCGACCCGGAGGATTCATCGGCACCTTCACAGGTATGGCCAGGCGGTTCTCCCGAAATGACTGGAACTGGAAACTCCGCTGCTGGGCAGCTTTTCTGACGGGTACCAGGTTCCCAAAGAGCTCTGCGAAAAGAGGCATTCCTTCCAGAACCTGCAGGAGGAGAAAAGCAAATACAGCTTGTCGGGGAGACATGCCTGCAAGTCCCGTCCTGCCTCCAGCTCTGGTCTTTCTTTCACCAGCTCATGCCCCATCTACCACACGAGGCACAGGGGCCGTGCTCTGGGAAACCCCACCATTTGTTTTGAAAAAGGTTTTGTTTCCGAGGTTATAATGAGTGAGGCACGCCTTCTCACTTCAAAGGATTTTATAATAGGCAAGCATCTTTGTATATCTCTGGGTGGTTGATCAGGATTGCCATCTGAGTACTCTAGAACTCCACTGAAGGGTCATCATAGGGCTTCCCCAGGAGAGCTGGGTCTCTTTTTACACCTGTCCAGGAAGGTTTAGTTTATGGGAAGTGCTACAAGGACCACGTTATATTGGAATCTCACCCATGGATATAGGAATCCTTACTGCGCATATGCACGGTTCGAAGCCATTGAACTTCATGGGTTTGATGAAATTATCATCAAACCCATTTGACAGTTGAAGAAATTGAGGCCCAAAGAGAAGAAATGTTTCATCTAGTTAGTTCCCGAATTGGGACTAGAGGTAGGGCTCCAGAGTGCCAGCCCTGTGCCCTCAGCCCCCTGGGAAGGCTCAGAACAGACTCTGAGGGCAGACGTTTGGAAGGGTCCTGGCTCCTTGCACGTCTTGACACGACGAGTCTCCTGGGGTCAGGACTAAGTTCCGATCTAGTCCCTGGTCCTTTCTCCTCACATCATTTGTCCAGCTGTCCTCCCTGCCTCATCGGGGTGCTACCAGAACCCTGGCAGAGCAGGTAAGCTCGTGTGCTCGGGGCTCAGACTGCTCAGACAAATCCTTTCTCTACCTTTTCCTCGGGTGCGTGACCTTGGAGGGTGACTTCACCTCTCTGGGGCCCGGTGCCCCAGTCTGCAGATGGGGATCATAAGAGCACGCCCGCTGATGAGACTCAGGGGAGATTATGCTAGCTTGGCACAGCCAGGCACGGTACCTCTATGTCCCTGCTCCGAGCCACCTCGATGAAGTTCTCATGCTGCTCCAGGGTCTTGTCCACTTTGTCATCTGTCATGCAATAACAGCGCAGACGCCCTTCGCGGGGGTCATTCATCTTGGCAAAAATGACAAACTTGGCCATGTAGGGCACGGCGGTGAGCTCCTTGTACAGCAGGGAGGCGAAGTTCACAGCTTCGGCAGTCCGAGGACAGTCGGACAGCCAGAACCTAGAAAGAGGGGGCTGATCAGAAGCATGTTCCGGCATGCCCGGTGGAGAGCTTCATCTCTGTGCCCACAGAAGGAGCCCGTGCGCCACAGGGGTGGCCGCTCTGATGGCCCCGCTGGTCGGCGCGGGGCCTCTGTGTGCAAAGGGGCAGAGGAGGGCCCTCCCTCAGGTTCAGCCCGGGATGGGCGGGTCGAGGCGGGAGGATGGGGCATGAGTGGGGGCCGCGCTGACCCCCCTCGGTGCAGGGGCTGCAGCCCACCTGGCAGAGACGTTGGTGGTGAAGGCAGCGCACTCGTTGGCATACACGAGCTTGGTTGTCCCCGTTATATCTTCCCACTGGGCTTGGTCTGTTCCTCCTGCAACAGGAGCAGAGACGAGCTGGGGGACAGCGTTCAGAGGGTAGACAGAGCTTGGCGAAATGTAAGGGCAGAGCATGGAAGGGCAGAGCCGGGGACACCTGTGTGGCCCTGAGCGCACCTTTGTTCTCATACTCTCCTCCTCCTGGTGACCCCTTCTTCTAGGGGCCAGAGGGCTAGACCACGGAGGGGGCTCTACCCAGACGGATCGCCCCTCCCTCCATCCCCTAGGGAAGCCAAAGCAAGCTGATGGCTGGCTTCACCTTCTCCCGTTTCCCCTGAATGTGGCCACAGGGAGCCGCTGCCGCCCGGAAGATGGCACAGAGGCAAAAGGGGCACCTCTCACCAGTGACACTGCAGAGCAGGCGAAGGCTGGTGGTGTCCCCCTCGCCGCTGTCCCTTGGGTTGTCCGTCCAGGAAGGAGGGAGCGGGATCCGAAGCCCGATGGGGCGGTAGAACTTCCGGCGCCGTGGCTCCACGGTGACAATGGGGCTGAACGTGGCCTGGTTGCCCAGCAGTTTGGTGACCAGCTCATCTGGTACGGGCTGGGCCTGCGAGGCATCAAAGGTGGACCCTCAGCCTCGAGGAGCAGAGGGGCTTGTTCACGAGGGGAAGCACACCCCCAGAGGGAGAGCAGGCTGTTTATGCAGAGGGCAAAGTCTCCCCGGGGGGACGTCGGGGGCCCTCCACCATTGGACCACGCAGATCTGTTTTGATGAGCACAAGGCCTGTGTTGGGGTTGACGTCACTGCTCAGCTGTCTTTCTGGAGCCCTCTTCTCCCCCTTTCCCTCCTGCTCCTCATTCCCGGGATGACACGGTCCTTGCTCCACATTAGTTAGCTCTCCAGAAGAATCCCCTTGCAGCTGAATGCACGATCAGGGGCTTTCTGCAGCGTAACAAGGAGCACCTGTCTTTTCCTACCCACCCGACTTTCTTTTGAGCTTTACGGTCACACCTCTAACTGGAATTTTAAGGCATTAGACAAAAGTGGGGGGATGTCCTGGGGAAGAGGGTCATCCTCCCGGGGGCCCTGAATTCCTCCCAGCCTCCGTGAGCTCTGAGTTGCTGAGTGGGGGGTGAGGAGGAGGGCTGTGTCACCTGCAGAGCCAGCTTCACTCTCTTGGTAACAGCGTTTTCCGGGAACGTTGCCTGCACCAGTGGGACCAGCTTGCTCTTCAGGAAGCCCCCTTCAGGGCCAATGGTGTCATAGTCCTGGCAGAGCCGTGACATGATCACGAAGTACAAGGGGAAGTCGGTGGTGATGATGCGGCAGACCCTCTTCTTCTCCAGCTCCTCCAGACTCCCCAGCTCTGGAATCACACAGCACGGCGCCGCCCCCTGTCACGCTGGGCTCAGGCTCAACCACTGAGTCCCCAGGACCTCTGCATCCCTGGTGCCCTCCCCGGGCACCCCCTTAGATGCTCCAGAACTGGACCTGTTGGGGCCATCCCCAGTCCCTCCCACCCTCCCAAACTCCAGGCGGCCCCAACAACCCGCCCCAAACGGGCAAGCTCAAATCCCACCTTCCGGAAGGAGGGTGCCTTGGGGCTGTTACCTTCGTCCATCCCATTGAGGATCTGGTCCAGATCCAGGTAGCTCTCTCCATGGCGGTTCCTATGTTCCTTCCACACGGAGCCGTTTTCACTGCGCAGCACCACAAGCTCGCGGTCCCCACGGCCATGGGAGGCAAAGTGGGGGATCTCCACGATCACGGGGCTGAGGGGACAGAGCAGATGGGGGGCAAGGGGCCTGGGTGTGGGCGTGCGTGCCTGCCGAGAGGGGGCTGGGCCCTGGGAGGAAAGCACAGGGGAAGGGGGACAGTGCGTCCCCGCCTGGAGGAAGAAGGGATCCTGCAGCCATGGCGAGGCCCCCCCGGGGCAGGGCGGACAGGGGAGCAGACCCGCCTTGGGTTCCCGAGATGTTCCGAGGGCCCCTCACTCACTGCCAGGCCCCCGAGGAACAGCGAGCACAGGATTCCACCCCATTTCACAGGGGGCCCTCCTGCCACGGCCACAGCGGAGGCTCGCACATTAACCTAGCCCTCGGACCTGAGGCCCAGAACCCCCGGACGGGGCATCAGACCTCCCCTAGCCTCAGCCGCCTTCTCTCTCCACCAGTGCCGATGACACTCCCCTCAGAGGGAGGCTTCAGTGACTCCATCAAAAAGGGAAAGTCAACACGAAAGCACTCTGCAGGCTATGGTGGGTGGAAACTCGGTGGCAGGGACGGCAGTGCACAAAGATGGGCGGGCAGGGCCTCCCGGGCAAGACCTGCCCCAGCATTACCATCCCTGGTGCCTGGTGCATAACAGAGCTCAAGTAGAACCCCACACTTCGCTTTGGAAAGGGAAAGGAATAGGTCTCTGAAGCCCATTAATCTTGTCCTTGGGGGCAATGCTGCAGGGCTGTCTTCTAGATATACCATTTTAGAGCTTAAAGAATTAAACCCTTGGGGGGCCCAAAGTAGCCCTGTCTTCTCAGTACCCTTCCCTAGTGTCCTACCAGGTTTGAGAGGAGTAAGCTCCCCCTGGGCTATGGTGTATCTGGGAGAAGGGGAGTCCGAGCTCCTGGTTCTGCTCCTCGGTCAGGACAGCAGAGAACTGAGATGGCTTGGGGCTCCGGGGCTCGCCTCTCCCTCTGCCCTGCGGCCGGCCTGGCTCTGGGTGGTTGCTGCTGGGGCGGTTGCGACCGACCAGTGGGGTGGGGACAGGTTAGGGACACGTGCCGCGCACATGCATGTCCAGCTCGAGTGACCTCTCACCTTAAGAACTGGGCCCCCGTGGGTCCCAGCGCAATGATCCTGCTGGCCAGGCCCTCCTCCTCAGCCAGCGGGGGCGGCGTGCTCAGCTTCTGGGGCTTGACCAGGCGGCAGGTGATGCGAGTAGGTGCGGCGCACGTCCGGGGCGGGATCACCACCCGCAGGCCATTGTGACGACTGCCCCTCATGGAGCCTCCTCGGGCATCCACCATGAAGCTCACCAGAAACCTACGGCACAGGCAGACCCGTGTCGGGCTTCTGTGCACTCTCTCTGAGACAGGGAGAGCGAGGGCCCAGAAGCCACGAGGCCCCGTCACAGGGGTCACTCACCCTGTGTGGACAGGGCTGGCCACAGGGCTGATGTTGTCTGAGGTCTCTGTGGCCGGGCTGCTGGGGATGAGTGAGTCTTCGTCATACTCCTTAGATGCCTGAGGAGGAGAGAAAGGCCAATGGCCCCATCACTTCCTGGACCACGGGAGCTAGTCCCGCCCAGCTGGTGGTGTTCTGGGCTGGGGAGGCTTGGGAGCATCTCCTTGCCAGAAAGCAAGTGACCCAGAGGAAGTATTCCCACACACTCACCACTGACCCTTTTGGGACAAGGCTTTCCTGGAGTCGAAAAGGAAGCACAGACTTCTTCCTACCACCATGGCTTTTCCTTGGCTCCTTTTAGGTCCCACATCTACTGCACAAACGGCAGACCCACCCGCTCTTTCCTCCAGCCACATCCCAGTGTGAAAACCCTGTTCTAGGGAGCTTGGTTTTCGAAGACCCACCGGAGCCATGCACCATCACCTACTAGCTACTTAGCTCGGGCAAGTGACTTATCTTGCAGGCATCTGAGATATAGGAGGTGACCAGAGCAGACCCTACCCTTGGGGGGCTTCCTGTGGCCTCATCTGCAAATGGGATGGTCCCTGCCCCTCAGTGACGCTGTGGTGGCAGAGACATGGGGTTGCCACACATGGGGCCTTGCATATCACAAGGACTCAGGAAAGCCAGCAGGGTCTGCGTCTGGCCCTCGGCCCTTTCTGGGTTTATTCCCAACTCTGCTCTCACTCCCAGGGGCCTGATGCCCTTGCCCCTCTCTGTTGCTGGTCCGGTCCACCCACCCTCACACCTTGCCTCCTACACGAAGCTTTCCCGTGACTCTAATCCAGAAGGCTTCACGAGGCACGATCGAGCACCAGGACAGGGATTCTTCCTGCATTCTGGGTTAAGTAGCTTCAGATATCTGAGCCCACCCTTCCCAGTTGGCCCATCTGCTCCTAAGGGGCAGGCTTGGGTCTCACAGTTCTACGTCAAGCCCGGAACAGGGCACGGAGTAGGAATCCAGGAATACCCGCTGGCTTGAGTTCATGATTTAGCAAGAAGCTGAAGAGAATGGGTTGGTCACAGAACAACAGGACATAGGCTGACTCGGTGACTTTCTAGTCTTTGGCGGCATCTGGGGAATATGCCAGAGCTGTGCCAGGGCCATAGTTGACCCTATCTCCCAAATGCCTCCATGTGAGTGACAACAGCATCACAGCACTGTGACATACCCTAGCATGGAATGGCTGATGGGACAGCTTCCTAGCTGCCTTGTCCCTGCACGCCACCTCTGTGCGGGGCTATGGCTGCTGCCGTCACACCCGGAGTCCCAGGGTGGCGAAGGCCAAGACCGGCCATGGCTGGAGATGGGCCATGCCCGGCTTGGTTACCAGGCCTCAGGGCAATAATCTCCAATCTCCAAACGTCACACTGCTTTTTATCCTAGAAAACCCCCTCGCCGTGGGGAAAAAAAAAAAAGGTACCAAATAGCATACAATCAAGGGGAATTAAATTGTTTGAAACCACCCTACTGTTTTTTGGGACAAATTCAGGTGGCATCCAGGGAAGCCGCAAGTTGGGGACTATGATGACTAACAGTCCCCCTGGGAGCACTCTCTGACGCCCCTTCCTGTCTGCATTGGTCTTTTCAGCTCCCAATAATCCCTTGAGGAAGGGGAGGCAGAAACTGTCCCCCTTTATAACGGATGTGAAAGAGAGGAGGTCCGTTCCTGTGTGTGCAGCTCGGCCTCAGCTGCCTCCCCAGCACCGTGACCCGCTGCGGGGGCACCGAGCCTGTGCCCAGGGTGGGGTGGTGGTGGCTGTGGCTGGGACAGCACGGGCTTTGGAGCCAGAATTTCGGAGCCTCTCTTGTGTCTGGACGAGCGTGTTTTGCACACTCTTGGGTCCTCGGAGGCTCCTATCATTCATATCTGGGGTAAGAACTCAGGCAGCATGGGGGTCGGCAAGGGACACGTGGAAGCAAGGATCTAAGAGTTTGGTAAGCGCCACAGGCTTTAGAATTCGTAGTTGCTATTGTCCTGCAGGTCATCTCAAAACCATCACCGTCCCAGGGTACCCGCTCTCTGCCGACGGGAAAAAAAAGAAAAGGTGCTTCTTACCTGTTCCGGCTCTTCCGATCTGATCACCACTGTCTCAGGTGTGACACAAGGGATCCTCGGGATGGCTGGAGATTCCACCCTATATGCCCAGAACATTGGGAAATCAAAGGGATGATCCTTCTAAGTGGCCCCCATCTACCACGGGAGGCCTAACAAAACAGCTCTGTACCCCCGTGATAACCTCTCCCACCTGCCCCCGTTGCTGCACCCCAAAGCGCCCATCACACAGGCAGTACTTCCCAGCCTCGCGCACGGACCAGCCTCTTCCCCTCGCCTCAGAGCCTCTCCCCGGGGCCCAGCTGCCCTTCACAAGCCAGCTGAAGGGGCTGCCTCCTGCACGAAGCCTCCCCTCACACTTATCAACTCCTTCTCAGTCTCACAGCCCTTACTGGTGGGATCCTCACTCTGGCCTCAACACCTCATTCTCTGGGGGTGTGTGTTGTGGTCCCACCAAATAAATCGGTCAGTTCTTTATGAACGATCAAGTCTCGTATTTCTTTCTAGCTGATGTGCAGTAAGTACTAATGATGTTGAGTTTTGGGATTTATATTTTATCCAATAAATACTAACTGATTAACTATTCTGGGGTTTCACTTCCCACTGGTCCACTGCCCTGTTTAGTAGAAGCTGTGGGACTGAGCCGGCACACGTCTATTTTTTCAGAAAACACTGAGGACTTGGTGTTTCTACAGAGTTGTCGCTTTTAGACTTATTTGCCAAACCTCCCTGTGTGCCGAGGGACCCACATGGGAATAACTCCCTGCGGGGTGAGGGAGGGATGTGTTCCAGGCAGACACAAACCCTCCGTGGGTCTCCCTAAGGTGCCATGATGACAGAGGGACATGGTCAGCGTGTGAGCTTAGCTTGGTCACCATTGTGAATGTGAACCTTCCTCAGGGGACCTTTCTGGTGGGAAACTGGGGGTGCAGGAGAGGGAAGGGCTGTGAATAGGAGACCGAGAGAGGGAGGCAGAGAGTTGGGAGCAGGTCACGGAAGACGAAGGGGCACACACTGCCGGACAGCATGCCATAAGGGGGGGCCTCTGTGTCCCCATCTGGAGGTCAAGGCACAGAGCTTGCTGATCCTAAGGATGCCACAGTCTGACCACCCAGCATCCCATCCCCGTTAGTGGCACACGTGGCGCCTGGCCTTCTGCTCGGGCCTCCCTCTCCTCTGTGTCCCAGAGCTGGACCTGCACGTCCACGGTATGCCCGCTCCTTACACTTGGTCCAGCTTCGGCACGAAATCCAGCAGCTCCTTCTCTTCGTCTATATCCCTGGAATCCTGCCTCTCAGCCTTGGAGTCGAGTTCTTCCCCTGAAACCACACAAGCTGATGTGAGGGACACAGTGGAGATTTCCTCTTTCTTTTTAAAAAAGTGCTCTCCCGCTCCTCTCAGTGCTGGCTCCCGAGGAGTGGAGCAAGGTCCCTGCTGCTCCAAGGGGACCACTAACAGCGTCTTCGGCCAGTCCTGTTCCTCCAGCCCTGGTGCCCAGAGCAGGGCAGCCAGCTCCTCACAGCTCAGTCTACGCCAGGCTTTGTGGAAGACAAAAAATACAGCCCAGAAGGGACTGTCTCGGCCGGACAAGTCGTACCTCACAATAGCCCCCGCAAGGTATGCAGACACCAAGGAAAGAGTTGTTTCTGTCCTTTGCCACAGGGCACACTGCAGAAGGGTCAACTACAGCGGGACTGAACCCATTCATTCTGAAGGGCTCTAGGCTTTTTGGCAATGACAGCAGCCGAAACCTCATGATTTCCTAAGTCCCTTCCCAAAAGGTTCAAACTAAGTCTGCAAGCCAGACTGCCTCTTTGTGTCTCTCTCCTTGCTTGGACTGGAGTGGGAGCCCTCGACCTTGCAGTGTCCTTTCCTGTCACTTGGTGGTGAGTGGCCTGGCTCTGTGATCTGAAGCTGACAGAATGGAAGAACGGCTCATGCAGTTATGATCACGAACACGGTGGCATGGGCACAGACACGAAAATGGAGAGGCGGGAGCCACCCGCCTGGGCATGGATCTTACGGGCGCACATCTCCTGTTAGAGTCAAGCTCCTGGCTCCGAACTGTTAGCCATCGGAGGAGGGTAGAAAGCAGGAATGGATTAGTGAGAGCTGGGATTGCTTAGGGTGGGATGCACTCGTGAGAAAGGGCCACAGGGAACAGAAAGTGTTTCATACCCATGATAGTTATATGAGCGGTTCCTGGAAAGCAAAGAAGAGCCAAGTTTAAGAAAGGACAGGATTGAAGTCAGTTAAAGCAAGAGGCATATCATTAAAGGGGACACAAAGGGAGCTTGAATCATCTCGCCAACACGGTTATACCACCAGGGGCTGGAGGGAGAATCCAGACCAACCCCACCATTTTACATCACAACGGGTCCCCTCAGACTTCCGTGAAGAGATGGGCTTATGTGGGGCAGGAAAAAATACTAAAGCACTCTGTGGGTCAGAGAAGCTGAAACTCTAGTCGTTTCATAATAATGGATACACTCCAAGACTTACTGACCCACGATGGGGTCAGAAGTGTAGCTTGCTAAGAAAAGATTCTTACAGAATTTAAATGAATAACTTCTTATTTGTTCAAAGCACAAGGAAAACCTCAGGCAAAACTTTATCGCAGTTTTTTACAGTCTGACAGTTGATCTGAGTAGAGTCATACTCCATGTATTACATATGTAAACACATATATTTATGAAACTTCACGGAATTTTGTATTTTAATCTCTGAGATGTCGATTTTTCCTTCTCCTAAAATTACACTAAAGGAGTGTTTTTGATAACACACAACATCGTTAAAAAGCGGGTCTTTCTGGCTTTGGTACAGACCTGCAGACTGAGGCTGTGCAGCATGGCAGGTAGCCGGAAGCCCCCAGCGAGGGAGGGCTCACCGTCCCCTGTGCTCCCTTCATCCTGACTTGCCCCCGCTTTTTGTTAATCCCAGACTTTACCTTCATCTTCAGAGACATCCAGGATCTCATCTACCGTCTCAGGGAAACTCAGCCGGTGCTTGTCACTGGTTAACTAAATTGAGAAAAAGCAGAGAATTCAACCCAACTAGAACAGTGGGCCCTTTCACTGATCCAGCAGTTACCTGGTTATGACTGTGGAGGAAGGAAGTGGGAAAGGAGGTTTGTCTTTGCCCTCGGCCTGAAAGCTCAAGTCTGGCAAGGGGGCAAACAGGCAGCGCCAGCTTCCTATCGCCTTGTCTGCCCCCACCCCATCTTGCTGTTTGACCCCCCTTAGCTCTGCTCACAGCCCGAGCCTTCTTGCCACTAGGTGGCAGCACAACTCCGTGCGATGGAGAACACTCTCCCCGCGGGCCCCAGCCCCGCCTTGGCGTGGTGCTTCCTACCCCGTCCCCAGAAGGCGCTCCTCTTTTCCCTGAATAACCCACAGGGGCGCCCTGTCAGGCTATGTGTGTCGGGGGTGGTGGGTGCAGTGGAGAGGCGGACATACCACAAAACTGGGTTCATCCGTGACCACCTTGAGCACGTCTGTGACCGAAATGTAGCCCAAGCGCTTGGCTATTGCCAGCGGTGTGGTTCCATTCTGGGAGAAACGGCAGAGAGCGGATGAGATCAGACAAGGAATGGACTCTGGGGGTAAAGCATTGCCCCTTTTACACAGACCAAGCTCACGTTCTAATTGTTTGGAAGGGTCTAGGTGGACACGTTGCACCTCGGAGCCCAGAGCAAGGCCCCTGCACATGCGTGAGCCCAGACGGGTGTTAGCAACGATGCTTGCAAAGACCGGGTAGGAAGAGAGGAGGGCAGTGATCCTTTAAATCTGGAGCACTGAGCGCGGGAGTTTTGAAACGAGAACAGGGGAAATCCTGCCGGGACATGCCAAGAACTGCCAAGAGGGAACCAAACCGACCAGAAGGAAAGGGTCCGGAAAGCACCATATGCAATTCTGGAATAGGAAAGTGATGAGCAACGCTGCTCACTGCTCCCAACACCGGTTCTTTGGGTGTCAGTTACTGAGCGTTAAAATAGTTAAAATAATCCATACACACTTCAATGAACTATGTAGGCCAATCAGAAATCACAATCACCAGAAACAGGGGAGGGGCGTATCTTCTACTCCTATTTGAAGAGACAGAGCTACGTGGAAGTAAATTGATGTTGAGGCTTTATTTTTCTTTTGAGTTCTCCAGTCCCAGGATGTGCCCTGGACCCCGTGCAGATTTAGCTCCGACCACAGTTATAAATTTAGCAACCACATCTACAGTCAAACGTCCATATGCTTTCAGAGCTGGATGCGGCCAGGAGGAGATCTAGTAAAGCCTTCAGGGTGTCGGATGAGGAAGCCCAACTCAACCAGGATCCCGATGTCAAAGACAACCCTGAAGCCCTGAAACAGCAGGAACCACCTGAGACGTTTGGTTGTGTGCACTTGTACTCTACTGACAGCAACTTCACATAGTATAGAAAGAGTTTCAAAGGTAATATTTAAATAAAGGTAAAAGGGGGAGGGTAAATGGACTTAAAAGGATATCCTACAGGGGCACCTGGGTGGCTCAGTTGGTTAAGCGTTTGCCTTAGGCTCAGGTCATGATCTTGGGGTCCTCAGATCAAGTCCGCTTCTCCCTCTCCCTCTGCCCCTCCCCCTGCTCTTCCATTCACTCTCTCTCTCAAATAAATAAATAAAATAAAATAAAATAAAATAAAGGATAATCTACAGTTCACCAGAACCTACAGTTCACTGCAGCCTGCCTAGGCCCCAGACGGGCAGTAAGGACAGGCTGAGCCTCTGTGGTTAATAGGGGTCTCACAGGGCTGCCCGTGAGAGCGGTTTTCCGAAATGAGGAAACTGGTGGGTACTTACCGAGCTGACCTCGTTTGGGGAAGCACCATTTTTGAGAAGCAGTGTCACGATGTCTGTATGTCCTTGTTGGGCCGCCTGGTGCAAGGGACTGTATCCTTGCTGTAAAGCGAGGTGACATTTTGGCAGGATTAACTAGCTATGAGAGAAAGAACTGCCTACATATTACAGAGCCTGTCTTCTATGCGCAACCCACAAAAAATGCATTTTCCTCAGTTCCTCCTCCAGGGTCAAAGCTTAACATTGTGGCAGAGCCCCAGGCACACCAGAGTAACTCTGACTGCACCCTAATTTGGCACTTAGGAAGCATAGAGGTCAGCTCTCCAGTGTTCCCATACCTTCGTCTTGGCATTGACGTCTGCTTGGTGCTGTAGCAGAAACTTCACCACCTTGATATTTCCATAATGACTGGCCACGTGGAGTGGAGTATAACCCATCTGAGAAGCAAGAGGTGAGAATGAGTGAGCAGGGGGGGCTGCCGGGCATCCCCAGAGCCACTGTGGCTGGGCATTGCTGCAATCCTTAGAATGGCTGTTCAAAAGGGAGGATGGCCGGGAAGCCCGCTGGAAGGCTAGCAGCTGCCACAAGGGGTGGGGTCCACTGGCTTGGGGAGGAACAGGGCTTGGTTTCAGACAAGTGAGGTTTGAGATGCCTGCGAGCGCCGGGTGGAGATGCCAAGTAGGCAACTGGAAAACGGACACTGAGCCCCATGAAGGAGACACCTATGCGAGGTGCAGGTCCTGCAGACGAGAATGAGTGTAGAGAGAAAAAGTGGGGCCCACATTCCGAGGCAGCACACAGAGGGAGAGACAAAGGAGAGGAGGTGTGAGGAGACAGCAGGCAAAGCTGGGGAGCCACAGGCTAACAGAAGCCGGGGGAGATCAGTCCAGAGGGAAAGAGCCTCCATCGCGCCGTCTGCTGGGAAGGGGGCTCCGATGGGGACTCGTTGTCGCATGGAGGTTGCTGCCAACCTGGGCAAGGGCATACTTATTTCCACTAGAAAGGTGAAATCCCACTGTCCAAAAACCCCACAAAGGCTGTCCAGGTTACTGAGTTGTAATGGAACGGAATGTATAGGAACTGGTCATTGCTTGAAACAACCAGGTTTGGGGTATTACTGACTACTTAGAGCTTAGGCTGCAAAGGAGTTCATTTTCGAGAAATCCGTTCTGCTGAATGGTTGGGTGCTTCCCTACAAGCCGACAAGCCAAGGTTCCCTGAGCCCTTTGGTCCTAAGTGTCCCTGAGGAGCTGGTGCCAGATCCCAGAAACTATCTTGAAACAGACACTGCAGGCTGGACCTCAAGGAATAGTATGGCTCTGGGACCCCCAATTCTAACTCACACTATAGGGTCTCTCATGCAGGACCCCAAAAGACCTAAGTGGGCCCAAAAAACCTCAAAGATCCAGAACATTGCTGGGTTTTAAGCAGATTCCTGGTGAAGCTGCAGACAGTTGGGGATCAAACAGTTGCTAGATTTTTCTCAAAGAGACTTCAATATCACACGGTTGATCGTCAGTCTCCCCCAGCCTCCTCCTGACCCCTCCACACTGGACTGCAAGTCCTCCAGGCAGGTCCCCCACTGTGTGCTGTGCACTCTGTTATCCTCAACTACCCCCACAGAGCTCCTTGCACACAGAAGCGGTTCACAGAAAGTTGAACTGGATTTAACTAATTGCTGGAATAAAAGGCCTGAATTTTCAAGCGAATCCACGAAAGCCTGACATTTTGACACACTGCTCACATAGACTAGGTCATAGAATCATGATTAAATGTTCCTCTTAGTTTCTCACTACAGAGGTTCAAAGGTCTAGCAAACTTTCCGAAGTTCCCCACCGGAAAGCAAGATCATTAGGACCGGTGTCTTCAAACTCCACTGCCGCCCCTAGGAAGTGGCAGAGAAGAATGGGCTGCTGAGCCCTTGGGGTTTCAAAGCTCTGCGAACAAGCCGCCTCTGAAACGGGAGGGAGTCTGGCGCCGGGCAGGACGAGGGTGCGCACAGGGGAGAAGGGAGGCCAAGGCAATGTTCTGGAATTAGATAGTGGTGATGGTGGCCCGATTCTGAAGGGAGACGCAAGCACGAGCTGCCTGCCTTACCCGGGTGGTGGCGTCCACCGTGACACCGTGTTTGATGAGCACGTCTGCCACTGGAACGTGGCCTTCTTGTGCTACCAGATGGAGGGGGGTGAGTCCGCTCTGGAAACAAAAAGAAGTTCATCACCTTGTGTCCAGTAAAGAACCCTGGGCCACCGTGAAAGAGCACTGAGGCTAGGAGCCCAACCTGGCTGTGCAGCCACCAAACAGCTGTGGGACCTGGGACGAAGCTCTTCCAGCTCTGAGCCTCTATATCCTTATCTAAAAAATGAGGTGGTTTAGCTAAATTAGAGATCAGCAACATTTTCTGCTAAGGCCCAGATGGTCAATAGTTTAGGCTTATGTCTCTGTCACAACTACCCAACTCTGTCAGTTATAGTGAGAAAGCGGCTATATGGCCAACACGGAAACACACAGGCACGGCTATGTTCCGATAAAATTTTATTTATACCAACAAGTGGTGGGCCGGTTTTGGCCCACGGGCCCTAGTTTGCTAACCTCTGAACTAGATAAACTTTATGGAACTTTCCATTTATAACATTCCCTACTTCCCTGATTTAAGATAAGCCTCAGATCCTACTTTCCTTATCTAGAAAAGAGGTTATCACTGACCTATCTTGAGGGCAAAGTAAGGTTCACTTGAGAAAACACACTGGAAAGCACAATGTGCCATTTAAACGTGGCACATGACTAGCACCTCACAACCCATCCCGCGCTGCCAAAGGATGGATGAACCTGCTGGCACTGAAAATGCCATATTCTTGGGATTCTCACCACACCTTTCTCAGGAGGATAAGGATGCACCAGAGATATGGCCTGGTTTGTGCACACTCACACCAAAATGTCGGAAAAGTCTTCTCTCCCCGGTACCTTACTCAGTACGCTCCCCTAACTATGGGGCAAACAGAGCTATGATTCCTCTGCAGTTGGAGTCAGGGGGCAGGGCCTGTCCCCTCTCCAGGGTGGAAGGCCCCCCTCGGCCTTCTGCACCTTCCTGCCTGCTGACCAGAGGCCCATGAGCAGTAACCCTCCCCAGCCGAGGCCTGAGCAGGCGGGCGGGTGGGGTGGAACAGTCCTACCTCAGTCACAAGGCTCTGGGTGCCTTGCCTGATTCTTGGGATAACACGGTAATTCGCTCCCTGAGGTGGTGCATGGATGAGTGAGGATGTCTCCAGTACAGAGAATCACCATCACCCTCATGGGTCCTCACAGAGCCTGTGTGAAATGGCATGGCACAAGCAAGAAACGAAGCATCCAATCCAATATAACGGTCCTGCCCCTAACAGTTCTCTCCTGGGGGTCACCTGTCCAAACCTGTGCAAAAAGAACCAATGGATCTACAGGGTTTTAACAGATCTGCTTACCCTTAAAACGCCTGCCTTTCTGAAACCATTCCCTCTTCATCTAAAGAAGTGGCTCCTTGTATTGGTTCCATGATATGAAATGTCCAGAATAGGCCAATTCAAAGAGGTAGTAGATTAGTGGTTGGTGAGGACTGAGAGATTTGGGGGACATGGGGAGTGGCTGCCAACAGGTATGAGGCTTCTTTGTGGGGTGATGAAAATGTTCTGGAATTAGATAGTGGTGATGGTGGCCCGATTCTGAAATATACTAAAAATCACTGAATAGGACAGTTCAAAAGGATGAATTTTATTGTATGTAAATTATATTTGAATAAAACTACTATTTAAAAAAATAAGTGATTCTTAGTCTTTCTGGAGTCATGCATTCCTCTGAGAAGGTGAGAAAAACTATGAAGACCTCGCCTAGAAAAATGCTCATGTGCCCGTCCTTCCAAAATGCTGTGTACAGTCTTGGAAGTACTTGTACTCCTCCACCAATAGTCCCTGGGTTGGGAACTGCTAGTTTAGTGTATGGGTGGGCATTTAAAATATTCTCCCACAGAAAAAGAATATTTAGTACCAAATTACTTACTACATTCCTGAAGGTAGACACTAGCCTATATTTGGAAAAGTGTACTATGGATTTTAATATTGATCTTTTTTGCAGACCCTTAAATCAATCTATTTTGAAAAGCCTCTGGCATCAGGTAGGCTCAGGGACATGCAACCTGGGGAATGAGCAACCTTTCTGACCCTGTTTATTCATTTATAAAACTGCACTCAGTAGGTGCTCAATATTCAAAGAGAATAACTGGTTAGCTACTACAAAAGCGTTACCGAACCGGCAGGGCAAATCTGGGAAGCCGTGTTTACCTTGTTCCCCAGGTTGCCATTGGCTTGTTTCGAAAGTAACAGAGCCACCATCTCTGCGTGACCCTCTTGGGCAGCCAGGTGAAGGGGGGTCACACCTTGCACCGACTCGGCATTCGCTGACCCCCCGTACTGCAGCAGACTGCGGGCCACCTCCATCTGGTTCTGCTTGGCAGCAATGTGCAAAGGGGTGTAGCCATTCTGAAACAGAAGAAGCATCGGGAGGCTGGTTAAGAGAATGCTGAGTGGACAGGAATGAGCACAGGCCTTAAATGTTAAATCCTCAGAGGGAGGGTGAGGCCTGCTTCTTGGCCTGCTGGACACCCACTGAGCAGAGCTGGAGTCTCCAAGGAGAGCAATTAAAGTCAACAAACAAACCAACCAAATCCCTTTGATTTGGAAGGATCCAACACAACGCGCCTCCCCCATCCCAGCCGGTAAACGTCCTGTGCCGCTCCTCACCCCCTATTTTCTGTATTCAAGCTCTGACAGACTGCTCTGCAGGGCGTGCTCTGCCACCACAAAAGCTAGGATCCAAGCAGGCAGCTCACGGAAGAACTGGCAGGCTGGGGAAGTAAATGAAAGGCTCCTGTCTGCAAGAACCACTCTCCCCCCACCCCCCCGCCCCCCCCCTGATAGTTCATGAAGAAAAAGGATCCTAACCCTCTTCTTTCCCCGTGCAACGGCCCGGGATCCCCCTGGGCTTGCGGGCTGGGACTGCTGGTGTAAGGGGACAGGTGTCCCTGGCAAGGAACTGGGGATGTGGAGTAGGTCCTCCTTCCACACTAACTAGCCAGGTGACTGGAGAGTCAGTGACCTCTAGACATCCTTATTTTTAAAAGGCATTTAAAGCGGATAATGACATCCAGCGTGTTCTTTTCTTGCAGCTGTTGGATGGATAAAATATGATAATATATGTGAAGGTGTTTTCCAAAATAAAGATATAAAAGTAATAAACCTGCGTACGGTTTTGCAGTGCACTGGTTTACAAGATGTTTGAGGCCATGACAAGATGAAGGAGCCTGGCCAAAAGTAAATCGACTATGACACCATATACTGTTTATTCAGGGGCTCCTCTCTCTCTCTCTCTCTCTCTCTGGTAGGAAGACCTTTTCCGTGAAGGAAGCAGTACATGGGTTTACAAGCCAGAGTGCGCCCCTCGTCCTGCTGCAGACAGATGAAGTCTGATTTGGTCATCACTGTTAGAAACCCCTTGCACCTACATGGTCCCTTGTACAGCAAGTCAGGTAGGCATTTTTATTATTATCTCATTTTGTGGCTAAAGAAGTCAACTCTCGGCAAGGTTAAGTGCCATATCTCATGTCACCGAGTAAATGAACAACAGGAAATCCACGCCGGCCTTCAGACCCCAGAGCTGAGGTTCTATCAGCTGGAAGAGTGCTTCTCAAACCACAATGTGTACACAAAGCACGCGCAATCTCGCTCAAATGTAGACTCTGACTCGGAAGTTCTAGGGAGGCCCCAAATTCTGCATTTCTAGGTGAGGCTGAGGCTGCTGGCCCAGAGACCACACTTTGAGTAGCGAGGCCCCCACACATTCAGGGCTAGAAGAGAGGCCAGGCCTGAGGACTCTGAGCTGGACCCATACTTTCAAAGCCCACGCCCGCCAGTCCCAGAGCGCATGGCATACAACATCTGGTTTCCCCACCTTGGCCAGCATTCTTCCGGCTACCCCAGAGCACTGAACCTCCCCGCCAGTGTCTGTCAGACTGTGCAAACCAATGTTTCTGATTCTGCCGGGATCACTGATCAGGAAAAGGAAAGAGGAAAAAAGGGGTCTGACAGTATAGTAACATTCCAGTTTTATAGCATTGGAGGACAGGGAAAGAGCCACTTGGAAAGTGGACTTCGTGGGGAAATGAAAAGTTGTAATAAACCCAAAGAATTAAATTGAATTAAAAAAATCATTTCCTTTGAATAATTATGTGAGATAATTCATTTGAGTGTTCCTTTTAAAAAAAAATGAGAATACGTTCTTTTTAGGCTGTGTTCCCATAACGAGATCAACATTTTGATTATAATATTAACTAAACAAATAATGTTTGGATCGTATCAACAGAAAGCAAAGAAAGAGGTGTGGCTTGCCGGATGAAGCCTGAGATTTGGAGCCATCCCCAAAGGAGATCACTCTCTGTAAGGGGAGCATCAGGGACCGCTGTCCATGGGAGGAACTGGGACGAGGTAGCTAAACCCCTCGCCAATGCCCAGTCTGTAGCAGGTATCCACAGCATGAAAGCAGTGATTATTAGGACTTCTTTGAACAGACAAAGGGCAGAAACTGGAGCGAGCTGCAGTATTCTCCTAGCAGTATAATCAGGAGTCCAGGTCACTTGGGCAACTGTGGGTGTGCACACTGGCAAAAGCAGCACCCTATCCTGGCAAAGGGCACCCTGGTGTTGGAGGCAGCTCAGGCCAGGTGACCCTTGGTTAAAACTGACATATACAGGAGAAGCTGGCCTTCTCAGAACAGAGACTAACCCTCTGCGCTTCCCTAAAAGCAGGATTAAAGGGAATGAATGACCTTCTGTAGGTGACAAGGACAGGGGCAGCCAGGTAGAGAGGTTAGGGAGGGCTGTGTGCCCCGAAAAGGTCTACTTCCCCAAGGAAATGAGCTCATCCAAAAGAATCCACGCTGGAGAGAAATCTGCCTAAATGTTAAAACAACATTAGCATCAAAATTAGAAGGGGGAGGGTTTGGTTTGGGTGCAGAGAGATTTGCATGTGAAATTCTACAAAATTGCCAGACTACTTGGGAAACTATTTTTTGCCATGGAAACAAACCCCATCTGTACAAGGTTTGTACTTGGATAAGGTTCTCTTTAAATACCATGAACCTGGCTCCAATTTCTTTTCTATAAAGAGGGGAGTGAGGAGGCAGGGAGTCCAGCTCTTTATTTTTAGAGGCAGGAGTAAGCCACATCTTAGCAGGGCCGCATGCTCCGTCTACACAGTGACGTGGGCTTGCTACAACAGCGGGGACAGGAGCCCAAGGAGACAGAGGTGTCTGGGAGACGCTGTTGTCTCCAGCAAAGTGATGCTGGAAAATTCAGATGAGCATCCGTTCTGAGGAGGGGAGACAAACTGAAGGCCCGCACTGATTTTCCCTGGCTCGGGCTGTGTTCCCACTGAAGTCAGCAGGTGTCAGCTGTCATCACAGACCAATCCCCCCCACCCCCTGGAGGCTCCTCCTGCCACGTGGCTGAGGACTGGGGTGTGCTCTCCCCGAAATTATCCTGGTTTTCTGAGTCTTGGCTGCCCTGTAGTGAGCTCCCCGGAGTGCAGGGACCATGGGTGCATCCTTTGTGTCAGAGCCCTGCCCCCACCTCTCCCCTTCCTCCCCTGTGTGACCATCAGCCCCCTCCCCTCACAAACAAACACTGCCTGCTCTCTGGTCCCACACAGGCCAGCCTGTCTCCAAAAATGATCCTCATGACTAGCTTTATCCCTTCACCTTGTACTAGCTCCCCGCCACCCCCTGCCCCGCCCCGAAGTCAGATCTTACATAAGCAAGCCCAGTCAACTCCATTTACTTGGTTCCCCTGAGAGGCAATGAACCTGCTACTCAGGGCAGCGTCTTTCAGGGGCGGGCACACTGGCCTTATGTCCACCATGTAATATATGGGGGTGTGCCTTGTTGCAAAAACACCTTGATGTAAAAGTCTGAACTCATACGAGAAATACATTTGGGGGTGACTATTCACGTTTGAAAGAGGCCCCCCACTTCAAGGTTATGGCAGGGTCCCCCGCAACCCTGGATAGTTCTCCAAGTGGGGCCATTGTGCCAACAGGTCTCACCACCCCCAGAGATTCCTGGACATGCTGACCCTTGACAGCCGGCTGACAAAACGCAGCTGACAGAACTCGGTTGACACACAGTCGTTTGGGGAACCCGTTTGTTGTGTAACACGAATGCCACCTCTGTGAGGTAATCTGTTGCTGAGAAGTGGTACCCCTTTCCCACCCCACTCCTGGTCTCCAAATAGCAGCAATTACAGCAGGTAACATTTGTGTGAGCGAGGCGAGATCTCTGAGGTAAAAATAAAAGCAAAACACGAAAACCCTCCCGCTGCTCCTGGAACAGCCCCTCCTGACGGGGCGGCGGTGGGCCTGCCTTGCAGGGGCCGTGGCCCTGAGCAGGTCTGGCGCTGGAGCCCCCAGTGTGTGGCCCAGGGCGGGCTTACCCAAGCAGGGCTGTGCGGGGAGCTGCCCCGGGGAAGCAGCAGCCGGACGATGTCCAGGTGGTTGTGATGGACAGCCACGTGCAGGGGAGTCAAGCCATTCTGCAGGGAACAAGACAACAAAGACAACCACCCTCACTCAGCTGGCTTTCCACTAGCGATCCCTCCAGCTATCTATCGACAGCACCGCTTGGGGCTCTGTATCGCTTCTTTTATATATGGTGCCGGCTGGTTAAAAGGCTTCCAAATCCAGTCTTGATCTGAAGTCACTCCAGAGCATAACGCACCAGACCCAGGGCCACCTCTTTGTTCTGCAGGGCCCCGGGGGCCGTGGGCGGCCAGGCCCAGCACAATCAACACACTCGCTCAGAGAAGGCCACCAGGTTTTTCTAAAAGCACAGGGCCCTTGTCAGAAAGGGGGTCTAGCCAGAGCCCCTTCCCCCTGGATGGCCGCCCACTCAAAAGATGGACACAAGAGGCACAAGTAGCGAAGTGTGTCCTTTGCTCTGGCCTCAAAGCTGAGACAGGGCGGGAAGTTCAAGCTCACTTTTCCAGCCGCATTTGGATGCGCATCTCTTTCCAGCAGGAGCTCTGCCACCCTGACCTTGCCATACTTGGCCGCCACGTGGAGAGGGGTAAATCCTTTCTGAGGAGAGACACAGGCTGTCAGAAGCGTGGGGCGTCAGAGCTGTGCCCCCCGCCCCCAGAGCAAGAGCCCACGGCAAAGGAGGCATCCCACCTTCACCGGCATGGAGACACCAGCCACGTAAAGGACACGATTTCTGATCCCTCCCAGAGGCTGGGGCCCAAGAATCAGCAGGTTTCCTCTCCCACTTGCCACCTGCACCTCTGGTGATGGCACATATAATAACCATCCTGTGTTGTTACTCCACTACTCGCTAGTTGAGGGCAAGGGTTGACTAAGATTCATCTTAGTCCTTCTTGTATTCCCAGACCCGATTTGTCTAGAGCTAATAGCCAGTCCATGATAAGGGGATGAAGGCTCGGTGGGTGGACGAGAAAGGACAGTTTTACCACCTTTCTGGGGAAGGACGACACATCGGGCTCACAGATGGCGGCCAGTCTGGGGTGCTGGCCCTCCTGACTGCTTTCAACATCATCCGGGCCACACAGAGAACCAGGCGGGAGTGCCCATCCCGCACCCCAGGCCCGGTGGTGACTAGCCAGGCCCCTCTCCAGAACAGGGGAAAAAGGCTGTACCTTGGTCATGCATGCCTGGGATGCTTCCTTTTCCAGAAGGGCCAGGGCCGTCTCCACATGGCCCTCTCGGGCCGCAATGTGCAGGGGGGTGTGCCCGGCCATGGTGGCCAGGTTAGGACTGGCATTATTTTCTAGCAGGAGCTTCACCATGTTCATGTGGCCGATGCGAGCCGCACAGTGAAGCGGGGTCTGGTCATCCTGGGACCCAAAGTGAAAACAAAGAACAGGGCATGATCTTAAGGTTTCTTCATCCAACTCTTCACTTTACGAAGGACGAAGGTGAGGCCCAGAGAGGGTAAGTGACTTTCTCAAGGTCACACAGCTAGGAAGATGAAGAGCTGGAATTCAAATCAAGTCTCTGAGTTATAGAAACAAATACGCTCTCTCACTTCATCCTCACAACGACCCTTCAGGTTAGCTGTTATTTCCACCAAATTGCCAAAAGGCTCAGCCTTCCCATCTGTAAAATGGAAACAATAATCTACCTCATAGGGCTCTGGTTGGGATTAAGCAGGTAGTGTATATAAAATGTTTCACACAGTGTAACAGGCACTCTTCCTGTTTCCCAAGTCACGTCTGAGCAGAAACTTGCCTTTCTGCTTGAATGGGGTCGCAGGAAAGTCTAAACTGCTGAAGGGGAAAGGTGACTTTCTTCCCACCCTTGCTCCTCCTCCTCCCCTGATACTGAAGGGGTTCAAGGCGAGGGTCTCTGTGCTGTCGGGCCCAGCTGGGGGCCTCTGTGCGTGGCCCAAACACAAACCACCGTTCTAACTCTAAACAGAGCCTCTGTCATCAGTAGAGTAGGAAAACCCAATCTTGGGCAAAGCCCATCGCCTTGCACATTCAGTAGCAATTCTTACTGTTCCCTCGCCCAATCCCTGGAGAACACTTTTTACAACAAGGGGGCATCTCCCATTTTTTAGGTCAAGTAATTCCTGACTGGTTTTCACTGGTAACATATTCTCCAAAAAGTTGCCTCTCTTCTTACACCAGGACTGTAACCACCATGAAACCCTTTCAGCCCCCAAACCCTGCAGGCCAGCCATGCTCTTTGGGCTTTCATTATCCCAATGAATAGGATAGCTCTGATACAAACATATCTCCGGCCTTCTCAGAACCCCTGCAAAGCAGAATCTGAGCGTTCAGGGCAACCACCGTGGGAATGATGAGGAACCTTTGTGCCAGGCCTCTAATAAGGATGGATTTCTCCTCATTGCGCTTGAATCGCTTACATCCCAGGATCCTCCTGGCCTCCAGAACTCACCTTGGCCTTGGCATTGACTTTGGCTTTGTTCTGGAGCAAATATTTGGCCACTTCCGTGTGTCCTGCTCTGGCTGCCATATGTAGCGGGGTCTCCACTTTCTGTAAAACCACAGAATTATAGAAATGTTAATCCATGCCGAGTTTCCAAAAGGACACACGCAGAGTTCCAAAGTGCCAGCCTGGAGTAACTTGGTGGGTTTTCGTCCAAGAGGTGGAGTTGTCCCAACAAGCAGCTACTTTAGCCTTTAGCCTGCTGACACCTAGTGTGTGTGTGTGTGTGTGTGTGTGTGTGTGTGTGTGTGCGCACGTGCGCACATATGTACATGTTTTAGGTATACTTAAAAGTAAACCTCAGAGCTAATGAATGCTAAAAACTATAAATGAATTCCCAGATAACACAGAAGTTCCCAAATTATTCTCTAAAAGAAAACTCCTAGGACTGACAGATGTGTGATGAATTTAATTGGGAAAGGCTCAATATATACACATATTCTCCCCAAACCTGCAGTCTCTCCTATTGCGAGAATTCTCGCTCTCTCCCCAGAGAAGAGACCTTAGGATCAGTAGCTCATCTCCCCTCTGAGCTCTCAGTCGAGAGGACAGAGCGCTTGCTCTCCCCAGTGGGCTTACCACATTGGAGACATTGGGTGATGCCCCCCGCTGTAGGAGGTTCTTCACGATGGGCAGGTGCCCCATGAAGGAGGCCACGTGGAGAGGTGTCAAACCAGACTGGAACACACAAGAGAGGAATGAGAACAGAGGAGCCTTTTCCTGCTCCTACAAAGAAGAGAGAGCCAGATGAATCTAGTGCTTTCTTGTTTCTAGGGGCTCCAGAATGGTTTTCTAAGCAAAGGGAGTTAAATGAGATGCGTTTTTCTTCCAGGAAAATGGGTGGAGGAAAAAAGAAATCACTGCAGGGTGATTCTGTGTGCTTTACAACTCAAAAACTTGCATCTGGTCTTGGAAAGCTTCCTGAAACTTGACCCATGTCCCCCTGTCTCGGTCACCCAGTTTATTCCTTCAAGCAGTCTGGACTTGCATACACACACGCAGTCCTGCAGCCACATGGAGCTAAAAAGAACAACTGTCCAGAAAGCTTTTGGAGGAAGACCCCGGGCAGGGACCATTGGCCTGTCTGTGGAGTTCTCCTACCTCAGTGACAGCGTCAATGGAGGCCCCCGTCTTCAGTAGCAGCTCCATGACACGGATGTGGTTCTTCTTGCAGGCGATATGTAAGGGGGTAAAGCCATTCTGCAGCCCCACACATAGGGAGACAGACAAGCAGGAACTTACAACACTAGGCCGAGGGTCCCCCAGACCCCCCTGCTGATGAAAAGGCAACCTCTGCCCACTGCCTGGACTCCGGTTACTGTCAGTCGCCCGAGAGGCAGCTGGCTCCCACTTTAGGCACCAAGCACGTTCCTGAACGAGTTGTTTATAAACCTTTTTTAAAAATTTAATCATATTTTTGGATGCACAAAAAGGGCCTGCTGTTTTAAGTTTCCTTCAGGGGAAACTGACAGTAAAGAGCACTTTTTGTGAAGCGAATCATGTTCCCTCTCCCCTGAAACCACTGATCATTTTTAGTAAAGTGGATTTCGGGATAGCAGCTCTGCTGTGTACGTCAACTCCACAGGGGCTAGGGAGTTTTATTTGTTTGTTTTTGTCTGTTTTTCCAGGGCTTTACTCTGATAGGCAGTGATTCTCCAAGTGGGGGGAGGGGATTTTGTCCCACCCCACCCCTGGGGGACACTGCTGATTGTCACCACCAGGGGAGGAGGGTATCAGCACCTGGAGGGGTGGGGGGCAAGGATGCTGCTAAACATCCCACCAGGCACAAGCCAGACCCCCACAACAAGGAATATCAGACCCAAAATGTCAGTAGTGCTGAGGCTGAGAAATGCCCCAGCTACCCCAGAATAGTCCCTGGTACGTGGCAAGAGCTCAGTGAAAGCTTTCTGAATGAATGAAGGAGCCATCCTTGCGAGACCTGGAAGCTCTCCTGCCTTCTAAATTCTCCCCTGTGGGAGTAGGCAGAGAGGAGATGGTGGTCAAGGGCATGCTCTGTGCAGAACTCTGACCCCACCACACCCCTGACACTGTCCTGGGAACGCCTGGCCTGGGGCAAGAGTGAGAGGAGCCAGAGACTCTAGGCAAGAACTCACTTCTACACCAGCACTAGGAAAACTCTAAGTCCATGAGCAGAGGAAGGATACTTAGCTCAGCCCATTTCACTCACCCCCCAAAGCAGATACAAAAGTCAGGCAGCCTATAAGGAATCACTGTTCTGCAGCACCAGGCTGGCTTAGATGGAATGGCACCCCAACCCACACACATACCACGGAACCGCTTCTTAGTGAGGTCTCCTGGGCCCAATCCCCCCCCTCCATGACCTCAGCCTGTCATCGGGGTGCAGAATGGGGAGTGTGAAGGTCACCATGCTGCCTGTGTGTTGCCATGCCTCTTGGGCCCTAGCCAGTGCCACCACTTTCCAGGTCCCAAGTCTTGGGGGTACCTCCAGGCACCCTGGCCCTTCCCACCAGGCTCAGCCAATGCAGCTCTGGTCCTGCTTCCCTTCCTTTGCCCCTCTGGTGCCCTCTCTAGTGGCCTCCCACTCACCAGGGCTCTGGAATTCGGTTTGGCTCCTTTATCCAAAAGGACCTTGGCTACTCTGTGATGGCCACAGTGGGCTGCCACGTGGAGTGGGGTCAGATGGTCCAGGGTGATGTCGTCTATCTCTGCGTTGTATTGCAATAGAAGTCGGACACAGTCAAGGTGGTCTCCCTGAGCCGCCATGTGAATGGGGGATAAGCCATTCTGGAAGAAGAGGGAGAAACAAGCAGTTGCAAAGGAAATTCAAGGCGATGACTCCAACCTCGCTTCCTACTTCTTCCTTACACAATGCTTCCACATCTGGCCCCTGTGCTCATGGTGGTCTCTGACTCTGCTCTCCTTTCCACCTCATCAAATCCTCTAAGCCAGCTCCAGCCAGGCCCACCTCTTCCGGGAAGCCTTCCCTGACCACCCTAGACTTCTGTGGGCTTTTCTTTCTCTGTCCCACTCACTCGGACTTCCTCACAGATTTGTTGAATTGTGTCTGTAATTAACTTGTTGGGTGTGTGTCTCCATACTTAGCAGCCTCTTAAGATCAGTGATTGTGCGTCCTGTCTCTCATATACCCCACAAGCTCCATACGAGCACAAAACACACAACTGCGCTTTTGCATGAATGAATGACCACAATTTGGAACTCAGATCTAAATCCCTCTGTTCTTTGCTCCTAACAAACACACATCACTTAAACAACTTCCTTAAGGACTCTCACTGTTTCTTAGGTAGCAATCTCTTTTTAAAAAATAAATGAACAAACATTAAAAACAGAGGAGACTCTTTACTTGATCCTTCACACATTAATTCAACAAATATTTATTAAGCGATTAATGAGCACCACGTATGGGTTAAGCTCTGGGGAAACAAAAGAGAACAGACATAATCCCTGGTGGAAGGAAGCTTGTGGACCCATAGTCAAAGGAGGTAGAAACAGATACATTGTTGTCATTCAGTGTGGTAATATCAGGGAAGGCAAGTTCAAAGCACAGGAAGGTAGAGCTTCCAGGAGGGAGGATGGGGGAGAAGGCTTTCAGAAGGAGGTGGCCGGGAGCTAGAACTTCTCTAGGAAGACAGAGGGGAGGAACCTCCCAGCGAAGGGAGCAGTGTGTGCTGTACCACAGAGGCAGAGATCCTCTGGGAACTCGGGGAGCTCTATCTTTGCATTTAAAGCTGCAGGAGGGCCAAGCCTGATGGGGGCGTGGAGCTGAGCTCCGGACAGGCAGGAGCAGCATCATGACAGTTTGTGAGCTCAGGAACTGGGATGTTAGCTTTCAGAAAGGGACCATGAAAAGATTCTCAGCAAGGGAGACACACAGTCAGGCTGTGTGACAGCTAGTATCCGTGTTATGGGTGGAATTGTGTCACCTCAAAATTCACATGTTCAAGTCCTAACCCCAGGAGCTCAGAATGTGACCTTATTTGGAAATCAGGTCACTGCCGATGTCCTTAGTTACGATGAGGTCTTCAGGGGGGCCCTGAAACCAGTATGACTGCTGTCCTCATAAAAAGGTGAAGTTTGGACACAGACACTCACACACAGAGACCATGCCACGTGAACATGAAGGCAGAGGTCAGGGTGATGACAAAGGAATGCCAAAGATTGTGAGCAACCACTGGACGCCAGGAGAGAGGCTTGGAACAGATCCTCCCCCGCCCCCAGCCTCTGAAGGTACCAGCCCTGCTGACTCTGATCTCAGATTTCCAGCCCCCAGAACTGTGGGGTAATGGGCCGCTGTGGTTCACGCCACCCAGTGAGGCAGTTTGCTACTGCAGCCCCGGCAAACTAATACAGGTAGTTGCCACTCAGAGAATTTCACAAAGGTCACACCATACTTCCCAACTGAAAAGTGGGAAGTCCTCAGTGAAGAACCTGGCCTGCCGCCTGTATTTGTAAATAAAGTTTTATTGGAACACAACTGCTAGTTTGCATATCATCCGTGGCTGCTTTCCTACTACAATGGCCGAGTTGAATCGTTGCAACAGAGATCGTGGCTTGCAAAGTCTAAAAATACTGACTATCTGACCCTTTAGAGAAAAAGTGTGCCGCGCCTGATCTAGCTAATAATTAAAGCTATACCAAGGGTCTCCCGTGTGACAGGCATTGGGGTACACATCACACTGGTTCAGTTAGTAGTATCAGCATCCCCGTTTTTTAGAGATGGGATTTGATCCTGGGTTGGCCCAACCTGAAGCCCTGCCGAAAGGATGCTCCTCGCGAAAGGGAAGCTACGAACCTTGGTTTTGGCTTGGATGGGTGCCCCGTGGTCCAGCAGGATCTCTGAGATTCGCACGTGCCCATTCCGAGCTGCACAGTGGAGAGGTGTCAATTCATCCTTTAAAAGACAGAGTCCAAAAGAGAAAGCCCCAAAGGCACCTATCAGAGCCACTGGAAGGAAGACTGCCCGCAGTACCCCTGAAACCACCGAAGCGAGGATGCTTCCTTAAGGACCAGCCCGACTCCAACCCATCTCGTTGTGTCTCCTGCTGCCTCCTGGCTCCCACTGCAGGCTGTTCTAGGATAATGGAGGCCCAGCACCAGCCCATCACAGAGAGCCCGCCACGCCAGCAGGGGCTCTGGAAGGCAGAACTCCCTCCCCTGTCCCCGCCGCGGAGCTCACTGGCACCCACCTTGGTCCTTGTTTCTATCTGGGCCCCGCGGTCCAGCAGGAGCCGCACCATGATCACGTTTCCCCTGCGGGAGGCGATGTGCAGTGGCGTGATGCCGTTCTGGAAGAGGAGGCATAGGGACCTGTCAGGCTGTGGCATCTTCCTCTCAAATGCAGCTGCTCTGCCCCCCATGCCCGTGTCCCCCCAGCCTTGCAGTGGCAGCAATGCAAGAAGCCACTTTCAGCCTACTCTTTAGGACACTTCTCACTTAAGAACAATCTCAAAACCTATGAGGACAGGACGGCATCCTGGTTAATCGCAGCAATCTGGCCGAGCCCTGTCTCCCAGCGTCATCACAACAGACTGGCAGAAAGCCCTGCCCTCCAGGCTTCCCACCTTGAGAGCGGGCAAATGGAAACTGATGGGTAGATGATCAGACACCCATTAAGGAGGAGCCTTAAGAGACACCAGGGCTGTCTCCCCCAAGGGCACTCGTGCCATAAGGAGGAACCCCGTGGTGTCACAGTGAGGGGCAGACAAGCCCAGAGCCCAGGCCCAAGAGTGGGGCCTGCCGGAGGGCCTTACCTGGGGCGTGAAGTTGACACTGGCACCCCTGTTGAGGAGTAACTGGGCCACATTGAGGTTCTCGTAGTGAGCTGCGATGTGGAGGGGGGTGAATCCCGTCTGGGGCACAACAGAGGGGGACAACTTGTCACAAGCCATGCTCTGCCATTTCCACCTCAGAATAAGGACAGGGATTCTGGAAATGTTGGCAGGGCCCAAGGACCCGAGACGGAGAGGTTTGCTGAAGGGGTCGAGAAAGGCTTTGCCGCAAGTCATATTCAAAGCTGGGTCCCACCTCCGAGGGCCCCCCATTGTTTGTTTTGTGGTTCCTGTGGACAAACCACAGACTAGCATTACCTCAAACTCGGCAGGGCCCACTTATGTGAACGGTTACTTACGAAGAAATGTTAATTAATGAACAAAAAGTGTTACTGGGGCCATGATCTTCACTCTAGAGATTGTTTCAGCCCCCTAAAAGGGCGCGGCGACTCAGCTGGCTGGCCAAAGTGGTCCTTTGGGCCCCTTGGTGGGTCATCATCATTCTGTCCCATAACCTGAGACCATGCCTAATCCAGTCAACAGCCTCCCAGATAAAACCCAGCAACCGTGGGGTGGAGGGACCATGTGAATAGCTCAGGGCAATCCACTCCCACTATAGAAGAAGTCATCAACAGCCTAACTTACAGATAATGGATCGGCAGTGACTCAGAACATCTGACAGCTAGAGGTCCGAGCCCCTGGGGAGCCCTCCCCATTCTCACCTCCCCACGTAGGGACACCTCCCTTCCTCCACTGGGGGCCAGCCAGGAAAAGAGGGGCATACATTCTAGAACACCACCTGCCAGATCCCAAAGCCAGCCTGCCCTGGATACTTTTCTGGATGACCAGGAGCAACAAGAACATTCCCTGCTCCACACCAAGCACATTTTCCTGGGTGTTCACTAGGGCGTTTAAAACTCCTCCAGGTCACTAGTGGGAACCTGGAGGCCCCGTGGGGGCTGGTGGTGCTCCGAGTGCACGGCTGGTGCCGCCTCCGGCCACGGTGCATTCTCAGGGAACGGCTGGGGGTCAGCCCTATGGCTCCGCGGCCAGGGAAGGCCGCCCTCACCTTGGAAAGCACGTCAGGGTTGGGGTCATTCTGCAGCAGCACTGCGGCTGTCCGCGTATCGTCGTTGCGCGCCGCGATGTGCAGGGCGGGCAGGCGCACCTTCCCTTTCGTCCCATAGTTGATGAGGTGGGCCACCACGTTCTCGTGACCCTGCTGCAGAGCCACTGCTAGAGGAGTGAAGCCGTCCTGGCCACAGGAAAGGAGGAAAGATCCATTTGCTCCGACCCTACCCGACCACCATCTTCCAGGCAGGACGCACGCTTTCACACCTCAGGGCTCTTGCTTGTGACAGGCCCTCAGCCTGCAATGACTTTCTTACCATTCAGAGCCCTCTTTATCTGTCAAGCTCAGATTAAATGCCACCTCTGCCTTAAAGTCTCTCTTGGCCCCACTTTCTTTCTCTGCAATCTCCCTGAGCGCAGAGCCATTCATTTTCCTTTATGACTTGTTCCCAGTCTGACTGAGTGCTTGGAGTGCTCCTTGCCTACCCTCCCTTGCACCCTTCAACATGGCAAAGGATCATTCATTTCTTCATTGCACGAGTATTAGTAGCACCTACCAAATGCTAGAAACTATGCCAGGACCTGAGGATTCGATTGTGAGCTACTGTGATTAATCTCCTCGGTTATATGCCGAGGGGCACAGGACCCCACGAACTGGCGAAGCAGAATGAGCACAAAGTCACCTAACTGCTGAGTGTTATAATGTTAGTAGTCAAGAGAAGCTTTGGCTCTATCTAGTTCAATTTCATCCTTTCGTCAATGACAAAACTCAGGACCAGAGTTGACGTGACTCATGGCTTATGGCAGGATCCTTTCTCATTAGGGTCCGGCCTTCAGTGGTGCTTAGTGTGGGAAGAACAAGCTTGAGTCTGATGTCATTTCTCTGGTATGTGTCTGGGCATTCCTCAAGACCCATGACTCTGTCTCTTCTTCCCTCGCATAGCCTGGCAGCACCCGGAATTAGTGCAGTGATCAGAAGGTAGAGAGCATGCAACGACACTCTACACTGCGACAAAGGAAGTCTTTCAAGCCACGTCCCAGGTGTCCTGCACCCGGGGGCGTCCAGTAGTGAGGCCATTTGCCCCAGGTACTTACTTCTGTGGCTACATTCTGATTAGCTCCATTTTCCAGTAAAAACTTAACCACTTCCAAGTGATTCTCTTGTGCTGCCATGTACAGGGGTGTAAAGCCTTTCTGTAGACCAAGAGCAAAAGTCATTAACATTCATCCACAAAAGGAGAGATGCTAAACCCGGTGCACAATCCTCTCAACTTGAGGACAGCTCTCTCTTCATCCTATTTTCACCTAGCCCACAGGGCCATGTCCCCACCAATATCTCCTGTTGGAAAAACAGGCTTTGAAACGGCTTAGTGGGATTATTACAAAAGGCCACCAGGTGGGGGCGACAGTCCATGGACAACAGCATCATCTTGCAGGACACACACACACACACACACACACACACACACACTCCCTCTATTTTCACTCCCTTCCTCATGAACCCCCCATGTCCCACCCACCCCTAAACAGGCTTTCTCTCCCCAAGTGAGCCATAGCTAGATATATTGTTTGGCTGGTTTAACTGAACAGAGATGGGGCCCTCAATGATCAACCACATCGTTCATAGAATATGCAATAGAAGCATGAAAACATAATAAGGATGCCTTCATTACTGCTTAGAGACACACTGCCGATTAATCTAGACCATGCGCCCGCAATATTACAGAAATGCAGGTGGAGAAGAAGGGCAATGCCTGGGACCCCAGAGGACCATTACCTGTGACTGGGCGTTGACATTGGCGCCATAGTTGACCAGCTCCCGGACCACCTCATCCTGACCGGCGAGGGCGGCGATGTGCAGAGCTGTGTTCCCTTTCTGAAACACATGGGGGAGAAGAAGCAGACGAGGTTTCCCACTGGTCTGTCAACAGTACCGTGACGGTCAAAGGTAAAGTCACCATTAAGGGTACACTAACAAGGCTGCGGGTTGGGGTGGGGGACAGTGGGCTTTCTTTAGGGCCAAAAGGGGTAGACAACACCCATGAGTGTGCCTGACCCATTATACACCTTGAAATAATACCGAAAGCCCAAGGAGGAAAAGCCTTCCTGTTTTCCACACAAAAAATCACGCTAAAGAATAAAGAAGCCACTTTTCAACACCGAATCTGCTGCCTGCAGACATAGCGTTCTGTCATCGGCTGACAGTCAGCATTCCTCAGGACACACACTGAAAGGTTTGCCAGGCAAGCCGGCCTTCCGTGGACTTCCAGCTCCTCACAAGCTGCAACTGCAGGACGACGCAGAGTCCCCGAGAGGCCCAGAGCCCTGGGGAAGGAGGCCGGCAGAGGCCGTGGGCTCGGTGCCCTTCACCCGAAGCTGGGCCAAGGGGGGACAGAGGACTGAGAGCCGAAGAGAGGAAAGGGCAGAAATACGTAAAGGGACTGGGGGCAGGTTCTGAGGAGGTGACTAGAACACTCAGATTTTCTTGTCCAGATCCATTCTGGGTATTTAGCAATTGGTAGACGGGGGTCAGGTCTGGCAGGCTGCTTGTGATCAGGATGCCGGCCTTCCTGCCAGTCTTCCTCCTGCCTCCCAGATGTCCTGGGGCTGGAACACAGGCACATTCTCTGACTCACCTATGTGACCCCACTGGCACCCCTGCTCAGTGAGAGGCAGGCAGGACAGCGCCCCCCCCCGCCTCGCCGACAGCTTCTGTCCATAGGGCGGGCAGGAGAAAATGGGACCATCTGGGCCCATCTGTCCCTCTGCTACTTAAGGAGCAGAGATCTCAAATGAACTCATCTTTTTATAGTTCAGATGGTATATAATTTACCTAAACTACATAAACCCTTGCTAATCCATCTCAGGCAACTCAAGCCCCGACAAGTAGGGACTTCAAACTCAGTCCATGCACTGGGGCCATCTGCCACTGGGAGAAGAGTGTCCTCACCCAGGCAGAACAGAGCAGCGCGGGCGCCAAGTTCTGTGGCCCCTCAGCCAGCACGGCCCCAGGCGCCCGCAGGTGGGAGAAGTAGCCCCACAGAGGGCTCCTGGGGGCTGGAGGGGGCTCAGGTCTTTGTTTCTTTTAAAATGTGGCCCATATCAGGCCAGAGGGCCCTGCTTGTCACCTCCTAAGGGTGTCTTTTTGATTTCTCCTTAAGTTCCATTTGATAAACCAAAGGGTTCTTCCTCAAATATCTGTCAGAGAATAAGTGCCAGAAATGAAGGTATAGATGCTAATTAATCATTTTTCATAGAAGTCCAAAGAGCTTACATTTAGAGGCCTTGGCACCTGGGTCCGACTCACTCACTGTACCAAGTGGGACACGACTGTTGGCACCAGAACCTTCTCTAGAAATCAGGACTCCGATCTCCAAGTCTCCCCATTTAGAAGGAAGTGTGCTGTGCCCATCCATGCGAATGCTGCACACTGAGCACATGTGGGTCAGGTGCTAGTCCAGGCGTGGGAGTATAGGAATGACGGACACTCAGCCTTCTTGCCCTCAGAAGTCAGTTGTTGCTTCCCACCTGCCCCTTTCTGCCTGAAATCACAAGACATCCAAGGTCTCCCCACAGAAACCCATGTGGGCGGCAGGGGAGGGGGACAGCTGGGCCCACGTGGAACCCTGACTATGGATCCTGGCCTACCTTCTGGATCTGGGCTGAGGGCAGCACGGGTGATGGGTAAGAGCAAAGGGGAGACTGTGGGAAACAGAACCCCCACCTACACATACGTGCACACTGTGCAAAGTGCAAGAGGGCCCTGACCTGGGGTGAGGGTCACAGGGCAAGGAGGTAGGGCTTCTGTTTCCTCCACCCTTCCCTCTGCATGAAGGAACATGCCCTCGAAGAAGCAAAAAAAATTCTTAGCTACGTGTGATCCACAAAGACCCACTTTGTCCACTGGCAGGGGGTCCCGGAGCTCCTGGAAGGGAGGCGGCTGGGGTAGGTGCGGGGTAGACAGGAGCAGGGAGATTAGGGCTTTCTCCCTCACCACCAGCCTAGAGGCTGAGCATGGGCCTCTGAGAGGCAGAGACGGGAGGATGGGGACACGGATGCTTTTGTTTTGTGCTTTTAAAATTTCTAAGCACAGCTTAGGAAACTATATTGGTTTTGGCTTTTTTACTCTTTTCTTTTTTTAATCTTTCTCCTGCTTGCGAGACCCATTAGAATTCCCCAATCTGCTAGGACTCTTGCTCAGCCCACGGTTTCTGCTTCACCTTTTTTTCCTCCCTCTGTGTGGCATTCAGAAACCACGTTGGCTCACAAAAATGCCTATAAATAACAAAGACACACCAAGCGCTCGCTTGCAAAATAACAATCAAAGGGGGAAATTCGGCAAGAGCGAAAACGCTGAAGCGCACTATTGGCACCACTCGCCCGGAGCCCGCAGATGGCGCGCTGCAGGCAGCCAGGTACGTGGGAGCACCAGAAGGAAAACTAATCGCGTCCCCTTTGTCCACAGAAGAAGGGTGGAAACCACTGGTGCCTGTCAGGGAAAAAACAAAAACAAAAACAAAAAACGCCGCACAGACGTCCAGGAAGAACAACTCTTGTCTATGTCACCGGTGCGCTCTCTTCACCTTCGGGAAATGGCATGAAAATTCCAGGATTTGACTGCCAGGGATGACTGTACCTTCATAATATTCGGGTAATACTCTTCATAACCACTGTATCTGCTGTCTACCTAGTGTTCTTCTGGTTCTCCGCTCGAGAGGGGGCAAACACGCTTGCCGCCCGGAACTGAAATTGGGGCTGGGTGTGAGAGCACCCCGGGTAAGAAACAGCAAATGGGAAGAAAGAGGCCGGCGGGACAAAGCCAGGAGGAAAACCGCGGGAAGCAACAGGGAAGGAGGAGAAGAGGAAGCAGTCCTCGAGTCAGCAGAGAGAGGTGATTTTTGTGTGTAGTTCTGTTTTGAAATGCCGGCAGCAGCATCTTGCTCACTAAGCAAACAGGATGGATGGACGTAAGAAATAAAACCGATTTTGCAACCTCTAGGTGCATAATTCTGTGACATGGTTTCTGGGCTCGCGTCCCTGGGGCTACGGGGAAGAGTGTGATGGTGTGGGGGCTGGGACCGCAGCCTTCGCCCAGTGCCTCCTAATAGGAGCTGAGAACGCTGTTCAGGGGAATCAGGGAGGGGAGGAAGGAAGTGTGGAGCTGCCCAAGGAGATTGCTGGAGAAGGCTAACTGCGACAGTCTGGCCCTCTCCTCCTGACCTCAGTAGCAACACAGCCACCAATATTCGCTGATGCCTGTTCGTTTGTCATCTGAATCCTGAAACCAAGTATTATCATCCCCATTTCATAGAGGAGGGAGGGAACTGAGACTTCTCACTAGCTACCTGCCCACAGTCACAGAGCATGAAGTATCCCTGCTGGGATTTGGACCCCGGGCACCTGACTGTGGGGCTTCTGGTGCTCTTAGCCCCTGCGCTGGAATCAAAGACCCCAAGAAAACAGAAGGCCAAAAAAAGGGTTCTATTTCTAGGTTTCTAATCTAACGAGGAGGATAAAGAAAAGCCCACTCTTTTGTGGAAATAGGGTCCTGTGCTTTTCAGGTGACTTCAGGGATGCCTAGAACTAGGAAGCAATGGGAAAGACAAGAGAAATTCAGAGGCACGCTTGGGTTTCTCTCAAGTTTGGGACAAGACATGAGGGACCCCCACACTTGAATTATCAATGAAAAGCTCCCTGCTCCCTAAGAGACGTACCTTGGTTGTCGTTTCTAGAATGATTTCTTTGTGCAGAAGTTCAACCACCATCTTCACATGGCCTTCTTTAGAGGCCAGGTGCAAGCCGTTCAGCCCATTCTGTGAAGAGCAGAGAGGCAGGAAGAGTGTGGTTAGGGGACTATGCATTCTGCTGTTCCAGTGGTTGGGGTGAGGCCATTTCCCTGTGAAGAGATGTGTGACAGGCCAGAAGGAAGAACCGGAGGGGCCCTGAGTGGTGCTGGCCCAGCCTCTCCAAGTTCTTTTCCGCAGAAGTGCCAGGTAATAGGAAAGCAGGGCAATAACAAGACCACCACTGCCCGGATTCATCTCCATCTTAAGTGTGGAGAAGCTCTCACTAAGGCAGTGGGTGACCCTGAAATTCAGATCTTGGCCAGGCTTTTGGCAATCACTTCATGGAAGTGCTATAGCTTCAACACCCCGGTTAATTTTCACGGCAGCAACCAGTAAAAGCAAAGGGGCAACACCAGTGTATCCTAAACATTTGCAGAGCTAGATGCATATTTAGTAAAAAAAAAAAAAAAAAATTCTGAAATAAGGTCTTTTGAGAATTAAATACCACCAGCCACCCAGCTATAAGATTTCTCTGACAGAAGAATCAGTATTAAAATAGCCCCTTGGCCACCTTGCCATTTCAAATGTGGTCATAGCGTGTCTGACAATTCGATTGTGGGGTATGGGGTGGGAAGAACCAACACTATCCATGCCTGCTCGGCAGTCCAGGGGAGCAGAACTCTCCCTGACCACAGAAACTTCCAGCCATACGTGACGAGGTACGAGAGAAGGCTTTACTCGGCACTTTCGCATGTCCCGTCTTCTGATCCTTGCACTTAAGATGCCTGGAAACTTCCTGGCAAAAGCTGACTTCAAAGAGTGCGACTTAGAGCCACACATAATTCCGACAATATGATGGAACTCATTTCGCTTCCAGTGATGAGCAGATCTTGGCTCCGTAAGGAAGATGACTGTAGTCAATCAGCGCTCCCCATGCCCTACTGTTGTGTTTTCCTCCTCCACCTCCTTGCCCACCAGCCATTTCCCCCTCTTCTCCCATTCCTTCCTGTCTCCTGTTTCAGTCAACGCCGTTCTAGCATGTTCCCTTTCAGGGGATGCCCTGCAGCCACCGCAGGCTCTGGCTAATAAGAAAGACCCTTGCCACCACAGCAGAGGGGCTTGGCTCCTGACGGTGTGCCTCCTGCAGCCCCACCTAGCACGGGCCCCTGAAATCCCCACTTTCCCTTTGTGTCCGGGCATTCAGAACCCAAATGCTCGTGGCCAGGGACTGTCCTGCCCACGGGAGCACCAGAACGCCAGCAGCCAGCATCAGGAGATTCCTGTTAAAACGCAAATATTCTATCTGGGAGTGGCAGCGCATTAACCTTTAACAGGTGCGTTCTGTTGCTTTGCTAATACTGGCAGAGGAAGTAATGAGGGAACACTGCAATAAGGAGAGGGAGGGCAGGTACCTCGGGATGGGAGAACGGAAGGTATCTAAAACTCTATTTACACTGGTGCCTTGAACAGGGAAAATAAAACGGGTGCCTGGGGTGTCAGAGCAAAGAGGAAGTGGGCTCCGAAGGGAACTTCACCTCATTTCTATTTAATCGGGCCCTCCCTGCACCCCAAAACACGCAGAGTGCAGTGGGCCAAATCTTTGCATGTCAGCACTGCCAGCTTGGCTAGGGAATGTGTGGGGGTTGGGGGGCGATGGAAGGGCTGTCTCATGCAACATTTCCTCATGCAAGTGCCTAGAAATCACCGTAAGATGTTTTCCTCTTGCAGATTGTGCACACCATTACATGCAGCGTCCCAAGTAGTGTGAATTATTCACACCCCGGTGTGAACGGGCTTATCCAATAAAGGCTGGGTTCCCGTCAGGTTTGATAACAGAAAGGGAGACAGTGATCTGTGAGAACAGGAATCTGGGGGAGGGAGAAGAACACTGGGTGGCAGTAAACCAGTTCCCCTCAAATCAATCTGCAAAACACAAATTCACTGAAAAGCAGTCTGTCCAGGGACTGGGGCTCTGGAAGCCTGGAGCCCCTCCCTGCAGCTTCGGGCCCTGGGCTCTACCCCAGGGCAGGTCTGCCCAGGAGCCCCTCCTCCCTCCCAGTGCACTGCGTTCTGCCATTCCCCTCTTGAAACCCAGCAGTGTTCTGGAAGGTTCCCTGCGAGCACGCTGGTGTCTGCAGCTGCTGCAGTGTGCTTCCCGCAGGGGACTCGGCTGTGGCGACAGGGAGAGTGGCACGGTGCTGACTGCTGTGGGTTTAGTGCTTACTTGGGCAGCACGGTCCCTTCCCATCAGCGGTCGCGGCTCCTGAATGCCTCAAAGCTGGGGAGTTGGCAAGTCAACAAGGAAAACACCCAAGTTGACTGCTGATGCTCCAGGGTATCTGTCCCTGCTCTTTGGAGCCCGTGTCAGCATCTCCATCCAGAGGGATTCTAGACGTCCTGTCTGCCCAGAGGATGGAGTGGAATGGGAGGTTGGGATCCCTGAATGAATGCTGAGGAAATCAAGGTCTGGGGTAGTCAAACGAGTAGCCAAGGTCACACATCTTTTCTAGGGCACAGCCACATAGAAAACAAATCTGGATTTCCCAAGAAAAAAAGGGCTTGGGGTTTTTTGTTGGTGGTGGTTTTTGTTGTTGTTTTTGCCCCTAGGAACTAGTAGGTTTCCATCAGAGGATAAAAGCCTATTTCTCCTTGTTTTGCTCACCAGGCAGCTCAGAACAAAGCCTCAGTCACGATCACTCACACGGGTCCGGTCATGGCCATTATAGTTTGACATACAGGATTTTATTCCTTGCTCTGGTCCACAGAAAGCCCTTCTGCTTTCCTCCCTGCATCACAGGCCTCCCTCCAACAGCTACACTCCTGGCAGAAGGTGGCCACTTATAAAAGGGACCATCCGAATAGATCTGCAGTCAAATGCTCTACCCCCTCATCCGAATAGATCTGTATCTTAAATTGTGTTACTCAGCTTCCATCCCAGATCCTGGATCAATGTTCTCTTTCTTCTTTATGACTTTGTATTTTTCTGACTCTATTTTTAATTTGTTTTCAACACAGTCACCCTAAGTCACTTCGGAGTCTATCACTGCAGTGATCTGAATGCAATGCCCTCCTCAGAGCCACAGAACCGAGCCCCATTTGACGTGCATAGGAGATCTGAAAGAAGGACCGGAACTTATCGTAGAACAAGATCACCTATGGAACACGGCTGGACCGAACACTTATTTCAGCTACACTCGGAGTCACGGCAGTTACCTAAGGTGAGCATTTCTTTAATCCAATTCAGACAAAATTTACTGAGAACCTGTTCCGTGCCTGGCACCACGCTAGAGATAAATAAGACGCAGACCCCTTATCCTTGAAGATCTCAATTTAACAGAGGCAACAGATGTGTAATAAATAAGTGCAAGATAATGTTAAAATGCCCCAAATGGCACGCATGAGATTAGAAGGAACACAGAGGAGGAAGGAGTGCTCCGCCCAGAGGGCCATGACATCTTCCTGGAGGCTTTTTCAAGGCAGCCTGTGTGCAGGCAGGGTTACAAGTTCATTAACAATGGCAAGATGAGTTGTTTCTGAGTTTAAATTCTAAACCCATGAGCTAAAATTGCAGAGACTATGCTCCCAGACCTTCTCATCAAGTGCCATCCCTTTCCATCCGAGATACACAAACACTCAGACCCCCAGCAGCAAGTGTTCTCCAGCAACTGGCCTCGGCAGGTAGACAGCTGGTCACCATCTAGCAGCTAAAGTCGCCGAATGCCTGAAAACTAATTTACGGCACATAAACAGTAAGGAACTTATACAACTGTCTTATTAAATGCGTTACTAGGGGCGCCTGGGTGGCTCAGCTGGTTAAGTGTCAGACTCTAAATTTTGTCTCAGGTCGGGGTCTCAGGGTTGTGAGATTGAGCCCCATGTCGGGCTCCACATGTAGTCTGCTTGAGATTCTTTCCCTCTCTCTCTCTCCCTTCTCCTCTGCTTCTCCCCCTGCGTGATCTCTCTCTCTCAAATAAATATAAATAAAATCTTTTAAGAAATGCATGACTAGCCAATAGAGGAGATCACGTCCAGTATTTCAAAGATGAAATGAACCACAGAGATGAACAATAACCTACCACCTCTTCAAAACCAGGATCCATTTGTTTTATTTTAGTTAACTCAAGTTTAAGTTGTTTGCTGAAAGGGAAAGGTAAGCTGCTGAACCTTGCCTTGCATCTTTTCACCACTCCAGCAACCTTTCCAAGCCCCTCCTCTTGATGTCGAATGGCAGACAGACTGCTGAGGGGATGATGGGGAAAGTCACATATTCCATATCCCAAATAACTGGGTGTAGAAGATAAGCAAGAAGGAGGTGGAAGAGTATGAGAGTAAATGCTTCAGTTAAATTAGAAGCTGGAGAGCAAAGCAGTAACTACTTTTGGCCATTTTTTAACCACATGCCTTCCTTGGGAAAACACCAGCTTGCCAGATTCCTCTTCCTAAAGATTCCTCCTTCTGGGTCTCTAATTACATGTACATTCAGTTAACTGACATTGTCCCACAGTGCTTGGCTGCTCATTTCTGTTTTCTCTTTGCCTATTCTTTTTTCTCTGTTGTGTCAATTTTGATCATTTCTATGGACTTATCTTCAAGTTCTTTGATGCCTTCCTCATCTGTGTCCAATCTACCAATGAGCCTATTAAAGAAATTCCTTATTGCCAAAAAACTGGTTTTTTAAAAATTTCTAGCATTTCATTTGATTCTTTCTTATACTTTCCATCCCTCTGCTGAAATTCTTCAACTATTCATGAACGTTGTCCATCTTTCCTACTAGATCCTTTAACACTTTAATCACAGTTATTTTAAACACCATCTGATAGTTTCAACACCCAGGTCATCTCTGAGTCTGCTTCTGTTGATTGTTTTGCCTCCTGACAATGGTTTTGTTTTTTTCTTACGTGTGTGTGTGTGTGTGTGTGTGTGTTTATGTGTATGTGTGTGTGTTTGTGTGTTGACTTAGGTCTGAGTTTTTTTACCTTCAGTGCACTACATCCTTCAAATTCCTCTAGATGGAGGCTGCTGTTACT